ACACCCTTGTTAGTTTGAGATGATAGAAGCGATATGTGTGACTGAAAGTTTTTTCCCTATGAAGCATTCTTATTAATCCTGTTTATTCTCAAACACCACCAGAACATTAAATGTTGATATGGCTGAAAGATAATTGTATGTGCATAAGCCTAATCAGATACACTTCCTTAAAGACACTATAAAAGAGCAAGTGCTGACAGACAGCTTACAGCTCTTGAGGATAGATGTTGTCTCAACGGAGACAGTGATGTCCCAGATGTGGATACAAGCAGATATATTTAAGAAATAAATATGGCATGCCGCATGTTGACACATGGCATCATGTTGAAATCATGTTTTATGATTCTCCATTGTTGAACTCTCCACCTCCTGAAGATGGAAAGTAAATTACCTCTGGGACAAAGTGAGTCTTCAAGCAATATAGGAAGCCTGAGCAGAGATACTGATGGTATGGATTCAGCATTCACACTTAGGCTAGTGTGTGTTATGTGGATGAAAATCTCTGGCCAGTGGCCACCAGGGATTTTTGAAATGAAAGTCTTCTTTAATTACGTACATCTGTGATAGCCTATGTCTTTATGTATCTAACCAACAGTGAACCAAAACATCGACGTTTTGATGTTAGTAGTCCTAAATTTACTGTTATTAAATGTTACCTGAAAAGAATGCACTAATTATTTAAGGAATAATATAGGATACCATTTAAAGGTGTTAATGTTTAAAATTATGTACGTAGCCTACCTTATCTTGTTAGACTGCTACTTGGACAAAACAAAATCCCGAAATCGGAGTCAAGTCGGCGCTCCACGGGTGACGATCGCTACTGGCTAAGTTATGTGATGAGACGCATTAAACTAAATAGCCCCGGTATTGTGAGACGTCTATGATTTTTTATTCACAAATTGTAATATGCTAAATAAAGAACATGTGTGGGTAATTGTTTTAGAAGGACTGATGTCAACAGAAACTTACAAAAATAACTGAGGAAAATCTGTCGCGTTTATTAGCTTGACGACAGTGACCTCTTATGGTAGGGTATAAGATAGGCTACTACATGGGTATTAAAAAAAACGTTTTAGGAGCCTTTTTTCCACTGTAAATATGACACCATGTACTAAAGATTACTTTTAAGTATGGGCTACAATGCTAAATAGCATAAAATGCTAAATTAAGATTATAAACATACAGGCAAACACATACAGGCAAAACTGCTCCAGGGCTTTAAGTACTATCAATGTATGCAGACTGGCACTTTTCTTGAAAAAAAAAAAAAAAACACAAGACTGTAATGTATGCGCTTTATAATGCTTTATTAAGATTTTAATTTATTTAATTGAAAGGAAAAATACATAATTATATCATGCATTACCAAATAGAGCAGTCTAAAGATTTCTTTTAAATGCCCCCTTCAAGAAATAACATAGAATAGAAATAATACCGTAGAAATAAATAATAGGATATGCCTAGGAAAGGTCCCCTCACATGGATTTCGCCTCCAGGCAGCAAGAACAGCTGTCAATCAATCAATCAACTTTTATTTAAAGCACAATAACAACAGTAGTTGAACATTGTGCTGTACAGCAGAATAAATATCTTAAAAACAAGACCGACCGCAAAGATAATGAGAAAGGGTGTTTACATCGAAACCGCCAATTTGACCATACAACATTAAAATCAAGGACACTTGTAGGCCAGTGAAAACAGGTAGGTTTTTAACTTAGATTTAAAAACAGACTCAGTGGATATTAATCTTAAAGATACAGGAAGACTATTCCACAGTTTTGGACCAACAACAGAAAATGCACGGTCACCTCTCGTCATCAGCCTTGATCTTGGAACCATCATCAACAATCTTTGTTGAGATGACCTCAGTGATCTAGTATGGTCATTTGATTTCAAAAGATCAGACAGATGGAGCTAAATTGTTCATGGCTTTAAAAAACAAAAAGCAAAATATTAAACTCAATTCTATAACAAACTGGTAGCCAGTGCAACGAACACAGTATTGGGGTAACATGATCAAACTTCCTTGTGCCAGTCAAAAGTCTGGCTGGACCATTTGAAGACGACTAATATTGGACTGACTCATTCCAATATAAAGAGAATTACAATAGTCAAGTCTAGATGAGATGAACAAATGAATCACTCTCTCAAACTCTGCAAATGTCAAAAAGCTCTTTGCCTTATAAAATAGTCTTAATCGGAAGAAACTAGATTTAACTACAGCACTTATCTGTTTGTCAAATTTAAGAGCAGAATCAAAGATAACACCCAAGTTTGTCAGTGAGGGTTTAACATGGGTGGCCAAAACTCCACTGGGGTCACCAATGGGATTAATAGAAAGGTACCAAAAAGTTTTGCTCTTGTTTAGGTGCAAAAAATTTGAGGAAAACCAGGACTTAACATCAGACACGCTGATAATAAGCTTAATCCCATTTTATCATTTTTCTTTAGAGGCAGATCAATCTGGGTGTCATCAGCATAAAAATGAAATGACACACCATGTTTAGAGAAGATAGTCAAAGGAAGCAGATACAACGAGAACAAAGCTGGAGACAGAATGGAGCCCTGAGGGACTCCATAATCCAGAACAGAAACAGAAGAAGAAAACCCAACTAAACAAACAGAAAATGTTCTGGCATCTAGATTGGACTTAAATCAATCTAGAGTGCTGCCTTCAAGCTGTGTATCATGATGTTATTTTCCATTGAATAGCCTACCTATGTAGGTTTCCAAGAAAACACCAGTCATATGTGTGTAGCACAGCTGGATGTAAGTTTATACGGGATCCACACAAAGGACAAACTGAAAGGTGTAGGAATTTCATTGGATATTTGACAAAATATCAAACCAAATGGCCAACAAATTAGTTAAAAACCCTTGATCCTCACCTGACTATGGCTTTGTCAACTGTATCCATGATGTTGTTTATAATGGACTATGTCTGTGGTACAGAAACAGTGGCAATGTTATGTTACACACTCACTCTGGCTATTATCTTTTGTCTCAGAAGACGATTATTTGTCCCGTTTTAGCCACCGTAGCTTCTTCGAAAGGGAGGGGTGAGCAGTGGGCTGAGCCATTAGTGCAACTCGCAACCAAACCGCAAGATGTCGCTAAAACTCACAAAGCATGTACATGTACAAAACATGTACATTTTCTTTAATTTACTACATTTACACGTTTTATTTTCTTGAAACATTACATGACATTCTCTAACCCAAGGTTCAAACCGTTCAAACACTGCCATTTCGATCTTTAAATTAATATTTCGTCCCATAGGCTACCATTTGCCACCATTATGACTTTATTCCACAAAATGAGTTATTTACTGTATACTGCAGCAGAATATCCAATCTGCTCTTTTTCATAAAAAATGAAAGTGAACGTTGTCCATGACTGTCAAGAAAGATTTTTAGTGAAGTGAAATTTTTGTTACTCACACAAAGAAGACCAAAAACAACTTTTGTTATAGTGCGTTTTTATGAGTCCCAGTCCTCTTTCATCGTTTGGAATAATATAATCGTGAGTTAATGATGACTATTTAAATTTGTTTCTATGGCAGTGATAATGTTTTGAGATCATTGACAAAAACTGAAATATGAATACGCATGTCCAAAATAAAATACGCATGTCCATACTCAGGCAGTAGAAGAAAGCAACAGGCATACAAAATACAAGCATAAAGGGTGTAAAATTAGCTCTAGAATTACAGATAGCCTATTCAGGTACACAATCATCTAGATTAAAGGGTGGCCATTGTTTAAAGCTCTCTGACATGATAAACGTCATAAACGTGACTTTCCCTTTCAGAACTGAAAGTTTAAGAATTAAGTTTCTTGATACCTTAAGAGTCTGTCTGGTGTACATCATAAGTAGGCTACAGCATCTTGTGTACATGATCCACAGCACTCTCCTTTTTTCACATATTCACCATATTCTTATGTTTTAAAAGTGAAGTTAACTTGTAGCCTACATCATCAGTTTTCCATTGGCGTAGGCTACAAAAAGTTTTTTCTCTAAAATGTCCCTTTTTTTTCCATCTCATTTCACATTTATTTGTATAGCGCTTTTTACAATACACATTGTTTCAAAGTAGCTTTACAGAAAATATATTGAGTCCATATTACAATTTAGAGTACCAGTAATCTGTTATCAAAGGTAACTGTCAGAGGTTATGTATTCAGAAATGTACATAAATTACAGTTAGCTAAAATGTATTAATTTAAACATTAATGTAATAATTTAAGGCAGAAACAATAAGCTCATTGAAGTAATGAATTCTGTTAACAAATGATTATGACATTAGGTGTGTGTGTGTGTGTGTGTGTGTGTGTGTGTCTGTGTGTGTACTTGAGAAGGTACTTTCTTCAGGAAATGCAAATCTGTTTTGAAATAATGTGTCATTGAAATTCAGTTAGTTATACAGAAAATGTTAAAATACTCAGATGTATTCTTAAACCCAGTGTATCTATTCTGGTATTAATGTTACAGGCAAAGTCTGTATTCTGTATTTGGTGACTGAGGGTCTGACCATGTAATGCAATAACACCCATTTAGCCCGGACCAGGCCCGGACTTGTTTTGAACTTAATTCATCTGCTCATATAACCACATTAACTATAGTTATTTGACTCTTATAAGAGTCAAAATTTGTAAAAAGAGTTTGAATTCTATTTTAAGGACCTCATACAAGAAAATCTCGATTCGTTATAATAGAATAAATACATTTACATCGATAGTCTGGCGTTATAATTTATTTGCTTTTGGTGCACTGTTGAGTGGGTAAAACTGTTTTTAATGGCAGGCTAGCTGCATTGACTCGCGCTAGCCTAGCACCGGCGAAATATGCAACTGGAACGACTGGATGAAAACTGTCCCCACTGACAAATAACTATGGCTAACTTGGAAAAGTTTTTACTCCAATGCTTTCTTTAATCGTTGTATGCAGTCTGACATTTTGTTTAGAACAAAAAAAAAAAAAAAATCAGGAGACTGTAATTGATGCTCTTTATTATGCTTTATTTTAATTTGAATTCATTTCATTGGAAAGAAAAGTACATCATTAAATCATGCATTAGCTACCAGAGAGTCTAAAGAATACAAAAATGCCCCCTTCAAGAACTGACTAAATAAATCATGCTTAGAGTTAACTTTACCCCTAGATGAAACCACAAAGAAAAAATAAGTGGTGCAATATTTGCCAAAATAATTTTAGCTATAATGCACTACAACAATCAGCTTAAATCATTGTTGTCATTTTCAATAATACATTTTAAAATTGTTGCTTTTTAGTGACAGATTGAGTCACTTTTAAATCAGCAGAAGTCAAGCAGGATCTTTTTATCCAGAGTTATTCTTGTCCACACATTCGGTGCATGTGCAGCTCTCAACATACATGTAGTGATGAAGGATCTCGCTGCTATTGGCACACTTCAGCATCACCTGTCGTTTGCTGGATTTCTTCTCCTGGCAGCAAGAACAGGTGTGGTTCATGCTGTTCTTTTCCATCGAATACCTGTGTAGGTTTCCAAGAAAACATCAGTCTTGTGAGTCTAGCAAAGCTGGATGTGAGTTTATACAGGATCCACACATAGGTCTGGATGCTAAGGTACATACAAGTATGAATTTCTTTGGATACCTAACAAAATTTCAAACCAAATGCCTAATGCTTACAAATGATGATAGAGTGAACACTAAAATTAAGCTGAATTTGTAACCCTGTTTATTTTATTTTTTTAATGTTATTATTATATCGATAATTGAATCTTTATTGCCAAATGATAATGATGATAATAATAATAATAATAATAATACAATTACATTAAAATAAAACCGTTCACATATTATGGTTGACGATCCACATTTCCTAAAGGTTAAGGGGATACTCCACCCAAAAATGAAAATTCTGTCATCATTTACTCACCCTCAAGTTGTTTGACACCATTTCAGCAGAAGAAAGAAACTCATAGGTTTGCAACAACTTGAGGGTGAGTAAATGATGACAGAATTTTCATTTTTGAGTGGAGTATCCCTTTAAGAATTTGAGACCATGTGTGTGATCATTAGGCGTGTATTGCTCTCACAGTGATTTGCTGTCACACTGGCCAGTGCAGGAAGTGACTTCAACATTATCAATGGAAGTGCAATTATCGTAACGCAGACGGGTGACGTTCTTCCCAAGCACACAGTTTGTGGGTTCACCTGAAAGATAATATAGGCGGGTAAGCTTGTGACTAAATCTCATGAACAGCACATTCATTGCATTTTAAGTAGAGCCTATTATAATATATTTGAATTTACTTACATATATGAGCTACATAAACACAACAGGGTGGACAAAACCATTTTAACATTAAAAAATACAATGTGTCAGGAAGTTTTGTATAAAGTTTATCTTACAGATTTCACAACATCCATCCTGGTCAAATTTAATTGTTCCCTGTAAAGACACAAATAATAGAAAAGAGAACATTATTTACAGATTTTTTTTTTTTTTTAAATATGGTAAAATCTCTCAAAACATTTATCTAATTTTATCCAATATTGCACATTCATACTAAAAAGCTTACAACAAAAAGTTTCTGAAACAGTTAGCACTGCCATCTAGCGTATTAAATGAATAATTCACACCATTTTTTCATTAGTTACTCATCCTTTATTACTTTCTTTCTTGTATGAAACACAAAATGTGTTACTTATTGCAAAATTTCCAAGCCCGTCTTGTTTTAGACAGTGCACGTCAATGTTGACCATGGCTGTTCAAACAACAACTTAAATGTTGGTCAGTTCCTCACATATTGTAAAGAAGACTTACAGTTGTATGTAATGTTTTTATAACCCTGACAGCACTTTTTTTTGCCCTGTTAATTGTTTTGAACATTGACCTTAGTCTGGAGAAATATGGGGAAAGTAATATGTCCACACTTAAGCACTTGCAGAAAGCAACAGGCATATAAAATACAAACTGAACAAGTGTGTCATGCATTGAGTTGAATATAGAGAATGTACTTACTGGCTCACAGTACACTGGATTAAATTTAGGGCATGTTTTAATGCTCTCCACAATAGCAAATGAGTCATTCACTTTAATGCAGTTAGCAGTTGTACATTTGAATTTGTACCCCTCATGAACCTAAAAAAAAAGACAGATACAGTGTAGAAGGCTATATTAGATTTTTGGTCTAGTGAACTGAAAGAATAAAGAAAAGTTCGAGAATGTACCTTGAGAGTATGCCTTGTGTTGTCTGGGGCATCATATACACATTCCACTTGTGTACACGTTCCACAGCACTCTCCAACGTTTTTCACATATGATTGCCCCTGTGTGTAAAAACATGTTTTAGCTTGAATATCACAAAACATTCTTGTTTTCAATTTAAGAATGTAGTTAGAAAGTAATGTTTTTATAAATCATTGTAAATAACATCTTAAAGTTAACATAACCTCCAACTTGTCTAAAATCTACAAAGTTAAGATGTGTAATGCATGTGTTGTGTAGTTACAAATGAAGAGTTCAGATGCAAAAGCTTTTAAATGCCATTTGAAATTTTCTTCTTTAATGATGATTTTTATCAAACTTGTATATTTAAGTTCAGTAATAGTGAAATTACTGAACTTAAATATACAAGTTTGATAAAAATCATCATTAAAGAAGAAAATTTCAAATGGCATTTAGAGGCTTTTGCATCTGAACTCTTCAAATGTTAAAGGAGTAGTTCACTTTTAAAAAAAACTTTTGCGGATAATTTACTCACCCCCATGTCATCCAAGATATCCATGTCATTCTTTCTTCATTCTTTCTTCATCAAAAAGGTTTTTGATGAAAACATTCCAAGATTTTTCTCCATATAATGCACTTTACTGGTAACCAAACGGTTCAAGGTCCAAAAGACAGTTTCAGTGCAAACTGCAAACTGTTCAAAGGGCTTTAAACGATTCCAGACGATGAATAAGGGTCTTATCTAGCGAAACAATCGCTCATTTGAAAAAAAAAAAAAAAAAATGTATAAGTGTAAATTTATAAGCTCAAATGCTAACCTTGCTCTGTTCTGTGTGACTCTCTTGTTCGAACTCGTTCATCAAAATGAACAAATCTTTTTCCGAGTCAATTCGTTCATTTTGTTCGTTGAATGAACCAAATGACTCGAAAAAAGATTTGTTAATTTAGATGAATGAGTTCAAACAGTAGAGTCACGAACGCACACTATTTGAGCTTATATAAAACGTAAACTTTGCTATTTATTTTTTAAATGAGCAATCGATTAGCTTGATAAGACCCTTATTCATCGTCTGGAATCGTTTAAAGCCCTTTGAACAGTTTGCACTGAAACTGTCTTTTGGACCTTGAACCGTTTGGTTACCATTGAAGTCCATTATATGGAGAAAAATCCTGGAATGTGTTCATCAAAAACCTTAATTTCTTTTCGACTGAAGAAAGAAAGACCTTGGATGACATGGGGGTGAGTAAATTATCAGCAAAAGTTGTTTTAAAAGTGAACTACTCCTTTAAGCATTACTGGAGCTGAAGCTAGAGCTTCTACTTACAGGCCCACAGCTAAGTGAACTCGTGTAAGGACATTCTCTTATACTCTTCTCAGTCACAAGCGAGCCATTAATTTCACGACAGGATACATTTTCACATTTGGAACTGTAGACTTCTCCAACCTAACAAAAGACAGACTTTGTGAGGATTGAAGAACAAAGCAGATTCTTTGTTTGGGGAACTGAAAGAATGAAGAAAAGATGTACCCTGAGAGTATGTGTCGTGTTGTCCGCCATGTAAGTACAGTTCTTTGGTACACATGTTCCACAGCACTCTCCTTCTTGTTTCACATATTCAGAGCCCTTGATGTGCATAAACAAGTTTGTCGTATTAATAATCACTTTTTCTGCATTTATAACTCTAAAATAAGTAAAAAGTTGAGGAAAGAACAAGAGGTGATTCTCTTTCTGAGTTCTAGAGGACCAAGAAATGGGTGTGTGAAATAAAGAAAACACCCAAAACCAGGATTGCAAATAGTGTGAGAAGGTGAGCAAAGACGATAGGTTGGTAGAGAGGTACAGGACATACTTTAAATGAGATGGAACAGACAGTATAGCCAAATGTTAGAGAATGTACAGTGACTTTCTATTTTTTATATACTGTATGGTTGGGAGTTTACAGTATAATATAAAATGGTCGACTCACATCCTTAGTAGAAGTACACAACTGATACTGTAACCATCCAAACTATAATTTGTTCGCCTTACTACAAGTGTAAGTTTTAATTATTACCTCAGCACAAGGTGCACAGACTTTAGTAAAACATGTCACATTATGTAGTTGAGTCTGTGGGTCTTTGTCCATTTCACAGTAACATTCCACACAAGGCTCCATAGGGATTTTAACTCCAGGCTAGAGAGAAGAGCAAAGTAAGGAACGTGAACCCAACATTAGATGATGGACTTCCTTTATACCAGAAGCATCATGCCTATCCAAACCTCCTTAGATGTTGTGTATTTGAAATACTTAAATTACATCATTGATTAAAGTCAAAAAGTCTAAAACAATATGGTACATATGTTCAACCCACCCTCATTCTGTTCAAAGAATTTCAAAGCTGTGAAAATGGTAGAACTGACAAATTACACCACAGGAAAACAAGACTTTTAATTTAACAGTGGTTTATGCATTTGTGTCATTTTAAAATAACCAGGCTTTACCTATCGTATGTAATCTGAGTAAAAGAATGAACCTAACATCTCACCTTGTATTCAGTGTTATTGTACACACAGACGTCTTTGCGAACTGGTCAGAAAAATAAAAAATATTAGAAATGGCTTACTAATTCGGTTCAGTAAATCCTGACACATATGCCCATTCAAATTCAATATGTCCATTGAATTTACTTGTAAAGTATGTTCTGTAACAGCAATAATATGAACAAATACTGGTTTAAACTACTGGTTAATTAACAATCTGAGACTTACCACAGGGTGGACAGCAACTATTAATAGGCGTATTCGTTGACAACTCAAATCCCACATCACATTTCTTCTTAAGACACAGCTCGAAATCACACACTGAATGGGTTGAGATGAAATAGCGAGTTATTTAGTCATGTTGTTTTAATTTGCTATTCAGAATGACTTAAAAACAATTTTCATTTGGACTAACCACAAGTTGGACAGCAGTTTTCAGTTGTTGTTTTGTATTCTTTGCCACACGGTTCAATGGTGGGACACATAATCTTTTCTTTCGTAATACCAAAGGTGTCACTGGAGCAGCTGTATCTGGTACAGTTGAAGGTCCATGTATCCCCGGGCTACGAAAGATGATCATTAGTGACAGTTAGTTAATGCTAGTTAGTTAATGTAACTACTGTAGTTAATGCAATCCACTACAGAGACATACCAGTCTAGGTAACCCATCAGGGCCCATGCAATCTACAAGGAGGGATTAATACAAAATTAACAAAAGTATGGCATAAAGAGCCTTCATCTATAAACACAGACAGTAAATGAAGTAACTTTTCTTACCGCAGTTAGGTGTACATTTATCCGTCGTTGAACTAACTCGATATGTGTTGTCAGGACAGAAACAACCTTCCATGAGTGTGTTTTCACAATCTTTGCCTTGGCAATCTTTCTCCACAAACTTATCATTGTATCTGGTATTTAAATATAATAAAAGACAGTTACATACTGTACTATTTGGAGCATTTAGTATTACATTTACTCTACACAAAAGATGATGTTATGTCACGTCTAGAGATTAGACCATTACCTTGTACTGCAAGTTTTTTCTATTTTAGGCCCACATGCCTTGTAGACTTTGTTACTCGGACACTTGTATTCTGTTATGGAAACCAACAATTAATAAATTCATAATCAACACAACGTCAACATAATGAATTGCCACAGTTGAGGAGCATTAAAGTGGAGTATTAAAATGAAAAGATGCCTTAAAAATACTGAAAGAATGTATACTCTGCTATAAAGTACTGCAATGGTGGGTTAATTCAGCTGTTTTACCGCATAGCCCTTTGAGGTCGGCTGAGTTTCTCCAGTCCACACAAACAGACTGCAGGCCACATTCCTGTGCATAGGCCTCCAGGCTGATACACGCAACAGACTTATTTTGAAGGGCACATGCATCATATTTGCATGCCTCATAATAGCTTTGATATGGAACAACCCCATGGCATTTTTCAAATAATCTGTGAAGAACATGCAAATTTGTGACTTTCAAAATAGCAACTTTTTTTTCCCAGAGATACAAAATTAAATACGTTTAGGACAGTTCACCTAAAAATTAAAATCTGGACCACTTTCCTGCAGTTTAGCTCCAACCTTGATCAAAATCACCTGCTTGTAATTTTCGATTAATCCTGAAGGACCTTAATTAACTTGTTGAAGTGTGTTTGATTAGGGCTAGAGCTAAATTTTGCAGGAGAGTGGTCCCAAGATTGTTGTGTTTCTTTGTTTGATGCTTGCTACAGAGTGTGCGATTTCAGCAATTAAGATAATTACAGACCACACTGTACGACATGGATCTAATAACCTTGGGTACGACATGTATAGACTGTATAATGATGCCAACTATTGAATCGTAGTCTGCGACGCAAGTTAGTATATAAGATTAAAACGTCATCAGCATATGCTATTGGTAATCGAATAGAGCAAGATGAATCGCACTTTGGCAATTGTGGTTTTTATGTGTGCTTAAAAATTGAGGAAGCGAAAGAAGAGCATATTGACACGGTCATGGCTATGGAAACTTGTATTTTTTCTTTGATTGTATTTCACTTTCATTAATGTATTGTTTGTAAAATTGTTTTATTTGATCTTATTTTTGTAAAGCGCTTTAAAATGCTTCTTAAAAAGGCACTATAGAAAATAAAGTTTATTATTAATATAACATTTGGAAAAGTTTTTGAGTCAGAGCAAGTATGCAGTTATGATTACATTTTGAAAGATTAAAGTTTTGGCTTTGCCTTACTTGCTCTTGATGAGTTCACAGGAGTTGTACGTTTCAGATGAACAACTTTTATTCTTTGGAGGTACATTAGGAGCATTGCATCCTGGGGGTACCATCCAAAACTGTGCCATGTGTTCACAAGATTTGTCAATTGTTCCGTTAGGGAGTCTGCAGTCATTTGCTGTGTTATTGTCACAAACCCCTTAATAATGTTAACAGAAAAAAAAAAAATACAAAAAAACATTAGACATGCAGTTCAATAAGTCACACTATTTAGTTCGATAGAAAAACTTTAAGTATACTAAATCAAATCGCAGACACAGTCACCAGATCATTTAAATAAACATTCAGGCGAAGTCTTGAGATACCAATCTTTGTAGTGGATAAAATCAAATTTATTTATCATTGTCATTTTACACTAAAGGGATCTGAGATCTGTACTTACCACACTGTCCCTCAGTATTATGATGGAAGTATGAGAATGGGAGTTTGACAATAACACCTAGAGTTCCGACTAAAATCTCAACCTTAATATCAGATACATTCACGAGCACTGTAATGCCAGTAGTGGTAATGATTATATCTCCCAGTTCGATTGTTGGCTTCATCTCTGTATCATTAACAAAGACCTGTGGGAAACAAGGCATTCTGCAGTTACGATGAAAAACATATTCTGAAATATTGTTATTTTACAATTTGTCACGAACAACATGAGAGCACATTGTGCGCAGTTCATTAAATGGAGATAAAGTCTGTTACATTTGTGGACAGCAAAGAAAAACAATGATAAATGATCAGCTAAAAAAGAAAATAAAAAAGATTATATATTATGCATAATTAAGAAAGCAAAATAAGTAATATTTTAAAAGGAAAGAGAAAATTATTTCTAAATAAGGCAGATGCTAAAACAGATGTTATGTGACATACCAACGCATTCTCATCCTTTAACGGCATATAGAACGCTATATGAAAAAAACGGCGCTATACTACGCACATGGCACCCGTTATCGTTAATATAACACGTGCTGTGAGGGCTAAGTTTAGGTGTGGGGTAGGGTGTGCGTGTCATATTCACGATAAAGGATTTATAACGTCTTGGGTTCGCGTGTTATATTAACGATAAAGGGTGCCATGTGCGTAGTATAGCGCCGTTTTGTCATATAGCGTTCTATATGACGTTAAAGGATGAGAACGGGCTGGACATACCCACATTCTAGGTTAATCAGGAACAAAAATGTGCAGGGTGTAAGAAAATATAACCCATTTCATTAAATATGGTTTCATACGAAATGAGGATTTCATGTACGTGTGAACTCGTGAAATAGAAAGTGACTGTAAGAAAATAGCTAAAAGCATTGAAAATTCCCATTTCCACCATCAAGGCAATAATTAAGAAGGTCCATTTAATTAAAGATTCAATCTGCCTGAAAGAGGATGTAGGCCTATGTACAGTTTATTTTGTTTTAATGCAAGGCGTGGAGGATCGTTTGAGTGGCCAAAGACTCTCCAAGGATCACAGCTGGAGAATTGCGTCAGAATCTTGTGGTCAGAATGCCTAAAAAAACCGCTCCTACATCACCGCAACTTGTTTAGGAGGGTTTTTTAAAAAAATCTGCTCTCATCCAAAAACAAACTATTGAGTTTTCATATTCATATTCAGTTGCCAGACACTACCGGTATTTCAAATTGGACTGAACCCTATAGAAAACTGAGTGTGTATGCACATGGACTTAAGAAACTGAAGGATCTGAGATTCAGTCAGGAGGAATGATCTCTGATATCTTGACAGATGTCCAGATTTTGATACAGTGTTGTGTCGCCCCTTGATGTCTGATTGAAAATCTGATCTTTAGAAAAGCTCAGTGATTTGATTAAAGTTAAAGTTTTTTGGGGATATATTTTGCCAATTTTGTTTGTGAACAGATTTGTGTGGAAATAGTCGTGGCACTCACCTGGACCTCTTTAGTGTTGCTTGTAAGCTTGATTTGATAGGATTTGTAGTTCACAATGACATACTCTGGGCAGGCAAGATTTTTTTTAACATCACAAAAATAGTTTTTAATGTGGACACTGATATTGTATCTTGGGATGATTTCTTGGAACAAAACATAAGTGCAGTTTCCTTGGAAAGTATAATATTGTCCATCAAAGGTTTTGTAATGAGGGTCACCATAGCTGTTGCATCTACCTGTTGTTTCAGAAAAAACATTTAAAATAAAGTTAAATATAATGCAACAGGACAACATTTATATATATTATTATTATTACCAATAGGAATAATATTAATTATATACCAATTTCAATGAGCATAGTTTAAACTTACAAGGACACTCATACTTGTAGCAGCAGCCATTGTTATAATAGACTTTCTCAGGGGGAAGTCCATTGACACAGTTAGGTTGGATTGCATCTTTTGGGTCACACTGTAGAGGGATTGAGTTAAAAAAGTTAAAAGTGTACTACAATAACTTGAAAGAGTTGCTGCTGTGCTGTTGCTAGGGTTCCCTTTCGTAGTCACTCCGAGTTACGTCGGATGACGGAGAATGGGGGTTTCGCATAGAAAGCCAATCATCTTCGAGTATTTAAAAACGAGCCAATGGCATGAAAATGCCTTGGGTCTGCGGAATTTAGATAGCATATCTCCGCCCCACCTCGTGGGTATAAAAGGAGGAAGCAGACGCAACCGCAGTATGTTTTCGCTTCGGAGCCAAGAGACTTCTTCACTCCACAAGCCATTTTCACTGAGTTACAACTCTTCGAGACAAGCGTCCTCTCCAGTGTTGGTGTGACGGCGGTACCCAGCAAGATTCTGCATTGCCTGCGATCTGTGCAGTGGTCTGCCAGACTTTGCGCTGCACCCTGGTCGCCTCAGCGCTGAAAGAGTGAATTTCCTCCTCTCATTCTGAAAGAGCTGCATGTGGCACTTCTTTTTAAAGATGGTTCGCCCGTGTTCTTCTGGTTGCGGTCGATTCCTGTCTTCCTCTGATGGGCATGAGCGCTGTTTTGTGTGTCTGGGCGTTGAGCACGCAAAAGCAGCGTTCGTGGATGAGTCATGTTCCTTCTGTGGGAACATGACCATCGCAACACTGAGATCGAGACTCAATGATCTTACTGTGAGAGTCCCCACGTTCGTTACCAGTTGTGCTTCCTCTACAAGGGGGAGCTCTTCGGCTCGTGGACAGGGTGATCTGACGGTCATGGTGTGGAATAAAAACCCGACGCTTGTTCCTCTGGCCACACCCCCCGCAGCAGTGTTGCAACCCGCGAGCACTGCAACGATTCAGACGAGTGCCTCTTCGCAGGTACCGTCTGTTTCGTTCAGTGCTCCAGAGGATGCGATGTCGATTGCGATCGGCATCACAAGGTGGGCTAGACTCCTCGGGAAGTGAGGATGCGGCTGTGTTGCCTCCCTCGGGAGTGCCAGCGTTGCCCGTGTCTGATCCCGAGATGACGGCCATGCTGTCTCGGGCCGCTGTGAGCATTGGGCGAGAGTGGAACCCTCCACCCTGTCCCGATCGCTCATGGATGGATGATTGGTTTTTGGGCAAGGCTGCCGCCTCACGGTCACAGCTGACCCCAATCCCATTTTTTCCTGAACTGCATGGGGAACTGACGAAGACTTGGAAGACTCCTTTGACCTCCCGTGAGCACTCGTCAGTCTCCCCCGCCTTTCCTCCCCTCGCCAGCGCGGCTGCCCGCGGGTACGCTGGGGTTCCCCCGGTGGAGCGCTCTGTTGCAATGCAACTGTGTCCTCAGAGCGCGTCCTCTCGGGGTATTCCTAAGCACCCCTCCAAAGCCTGTAGGTCGTCAATGGCGGCGAGATCTTATAGACCTGCGGGACAGGCGGCCGCTGCCCTGCACGCCATGAGCACCTTGCAGGTATTTCAAGCAAAGCTGCTCAGGGATATGCACGAGGGCGGGACTGACCCAGGGGCTTTTAACGAACTGCGTGCTGCCACTGACCTCGCTCTGCGGGCGACTAAGGTGGCCGCTCGCTCCCTGGGTCAGGTGATGGCCACTAGCGTGGTCCAGGAGCGTCATCTTTGGCTCAACCTGGCAGATGTCTCTCAACACCTCTCCCAGGCTAGCCTTTTCGGCAGTGCGATTGAGGACTTCGCCCAGCAGTTCTAGACCGCTCAGAAGCAGACTGAGGCGTTTAAACACATCCTGCCCTGACGGCCAGCTGCTGCCTCCACCCAGCTGTCGGTTCAGACGCCCCAGCCTGCTCACCACCGAGGACGCCCCCCTGCGGCTCCCCTCCCTCTCGCACGGCCACAGCAGCAGCCTCCACCCGGTCCGCATTGTGGAGGAGGCAGCAGGAGAGCATCACAGCCCCCTCAGGCTCCGCACCCCGCTAAACGCCAGGCAAAGTGGTGTCCCTGAGACGGGCTGCTCAGTGTTGGCATCAAGTTTTTCCCAGGAGGTGGTAGCAGGCCCCCTCCTTCCCCCGGTGGAGGGCCGGGGGAGAATCTTTTGTTCTCAGCTCCCCGCTGCTCACCCACGGGTGGGCAGCACCCTGAGTTGGTTAAGGAAAGACTTGACACCATCACTGAGCACACAGACTGGAATGAGTGTGCACGACGTCCCCGTGCGTCGCCGCGCTCATTCCCCTCTGTCTCTGAGAGAGTGGAAGGGAGCGTGTGTCGTCCCCGGACCACGCCGCTCCCTTCCCCCTCTATCACCAGACACCTGGCAGAACAGACCCTCGTGGAATGCTGGTCCTTCCCTAGTCTCCTCTGTCGGGGAGCGGAGCTCGACTGTGTACCCGCAGGGGGTAACTCCTGTGCGTCTGCCGGTCTCTCCGCCTCGCTGCCCCTCCGGGGGGATGTCTGTGGTTCATATGACCCTGCTGGATCGGTTCCTGGGAGCTTGGTTAGAGCTCCCCGGCCTATCTCGCTGGGTCGCCAGAACGATTAGACTCGGCTATGCGATTCAGTTCGCACGGTCTCCTCCCCGTTTCCTGGGGAGTTCGATTTACGGTGGACGGTGGCAATGCCCCGGTCATAAGAGTGGAGATTGCGACCCAGCCGAGATGAGGTTAGGGTTTTACAGCCCCTACTTCATTGTCCCCAAGAAGAGTGGTGGGTTACGACAGATCCTAGATCTTCACGTTTTGAACCGTACTCTTCACCGACTGCCGTTTAAAATGCTCACGGCCAAACGCATTTTCGAGTGCGTACGGCCTCAGGGTTGGTTTGCAGCGATAGACCTGAAGGACGCGTACTTTCATGTCTCCATCTTGCCTCGACACAGACCGTTTCTTTGGTTTGCTTTCGACTGACAGGCATATCAGTACACGGTTCTCCCATTCGGGCTAGCTCTGTCTCCTCGCGTCTTTACGAAGATTGTCGAGGCGGCCCTTGTTCCCCTTTGCGAACATAGGGTTCGCATCCTGAATTATCTCGACGATTGGCTGATCCTGGCACACTCTCGAGAGCAGGTTTGCGAACACAGAGACCTTGTGCTCCAGCACCTAACCCGTCTGGGCCTTCGGGTCAATCGGGAGAAGAGCAAACTTTGACACCTAACACATTCGAGAGATTCTATAATCTTCGAGTGGAGCCTGTGTCCTCTCTTGTACTCGCTCCGGCCAGTACTGGACCCACTCAGGTGTCTTCGCTTGCTCGCCATTCCACTCCTCGGACTGGATAAGTGCTATATTTCCTCAGCTGAGCCTTGCGTTGAAGCCCTGAGTCCTCCAGCACTGTTGATGCTGGCGCCAGTGTCTGTTGCTCTGGACGTCGGCTAGGTGCCTCCGTGTGTATGGTTCCCCTAGTAACTGTCACATGTGCATTCTCCAATGTAAGCCTCTCTGAGCATGCAAGCCACCGTGCCACTCCTGGAGTTAAGTTCGCAGGGCACTGGAAGACAGCTGTGAAGGTGGCGCAATGGCACGGGACCCCATTCTCCGTCATCCGACGTAACTTGGAGTGACTACGAAAGGGAACGTCTCGGTTACGGATGTAACCCTCGTTCCCTAAGTAGGGAGCAGAGACATTACGTCTCCCTGCCACTTCCACTGTACCGCTGGGTAGACGCCTGAGTTCAGTCTTGGCTCCTCAGCAAAGACATACTGCGGTTGCGTCTGCTTCCTCCTTTTATACCCACGAGGTGGGGTGGAGATTCGCTATGCAAATTCCACAGACCCAAAGCATTTTTATGCCATTGGCTCGTTTTTAAATACTCGAAGAGGATTGGCTTTCTATGCGAAACCGCCATTCTCCGTCATGCGATGTAACGTCTCCGTTCCCTACTCAGGGAATGAGGGTTACATCCCTAACCAAGACGTTTTCTTTCTAGTAGCTTACTGGCACCAAATCAAAATAGCCCACTCATTCTGGCTCTCAAATATAAATCAGGGTGCCTCCTTTAATGTAAGTCTATGACATTTTTTCTTCTGTTTTATCCACCAAAAGTAATTCAATTGCTTAGAAAGTAATAGCACATCTCTCCTCAAAAAGGGCATAATTTCAGGTCTCATTCATGTCTGAAGCCCAAAAGGTGTGGAAAAACCTACTCACTGAAAATATAGTTAGGGTGAGGGATTTCTTTAAATCCTAATTGTTGGCAGTAGAAAGCACCACTTATACTTAAAAAAAAATGTTAGGCCAACACACTTTTGGTGCTTAGCCCAGCAGTACATGGATAGTTTACCTTCTTATAACATGGGATACTGCTGGTTGTAGTGGGAATTGTAGATGTGTTGTTTACTTTCTGATGTCCAGGTGTTGTGGAGCTGAATGGCGCCTCTGTGTGCACAGTGAATTTGGTCGAAGAAATTATAGTAGATGATGTTGATGTTTCTGTAGATGTTTTTGTAACAGTAGTTGTTGGAGTGGACGTTGTTGTAGTTGTCTCTGTCGATGTTGTTGTAGAAGGTGTTGTTTCTGTCTCTGTATATGGTGTTACAGTAGTTGTTGGAGTGGACGTGGTTGTAGTTGTCTCTGTTGATGTTGTATTAGAAGGTGTTGTTTCTGTCTCTGTATATGGTGTTACAGTAGTTGTTGGAGTGGACGTGGTTGTAGTTGTCTCTGTTGATGTTGTTGTAGAAGGTGTTGTTTCTGTCTCTGTATATGGTGTTACAGTAGTTGTTGGAGTGGAAGTGGTTGTAGTTGTCTCTGTTGTTGATGTTGTTGTAGAAGGTGTTGTTTCAGTCTCTGTATATGGTGTTAAAGTAGTTGTTGGAGTGGACGTGGTTGTAGTTGTCTCTGTAGATGTTGTTGTTGAAGGTGTTGCTTCTGTCTCTGTATATGGTGTTACAGTAGTTGTTGGAGTGGAAGTGGTTGTAGTTGTCTCTGTAGATGTTGTTGTAGAAGGTGTTGTCTCAGTCTCTGTAGATGTTTTTACAGTAGTTGTTGGAGTGGAAGTGGTTGTAGGTGTCTCTGTAGATGTTGTTGTTACAATAGCTGTTGAAGTAGGAGTAGTGGTATTGGAAATTGGTGTAGAACAAACCGCAATGCAACAATTTACACGTATTTCATAATTATAACAAAGTGGTATCATGCGATCTGCATTTTCTTCATTTGAACACATCAAGCCATAGGATGCATTGCAATGCACGGTTTGCGTCAAGGACGAGTCTGGATAATCTACTGCCCTGCATTCAATGTCTTCTGGTGTCTGACAGGGTATTTTATTTGAAGTCCACAAAGCATCAATGGATTCGGTTTCCAATCCTCGTGGATCTGTGCTGGGTTTGTTGCTGTCAAACCAGTCTGACCACTTACAACTAATGACATAGATACAATTGATTGGTGTTGTTACTGACACTGTAGGTGTTGTTGTTACAGTAGTTGTTGTAGTGGTGAAAGAAGTTGTAGGTGTCTCTGTTGAAGTTGACGTTGTAGGAGTTGTAGAAGGTGTTGTCTCTGTAGATGTTGTTACAGTAGTTGTTGGAGTGGAAGTGGTTGTGGTTGTCTCTGTCGATGTTGTTGAAGGTGTTGTTTCTGTCTCTGTATATGGTGTTACAGTAGTTGTTGGAGTGGATGTGGTTGTAGTTGTCTCTGTAGATGTTGTTGTAGAAGGTGTTGTTTCTGTCTCTGTATATGGTGTTACAGTAGTTGTTGGAGTGGAAGTGGTTGTAGTTGTCTCTGTTGATGTTGTTGTAGAAGGTGTTGTTTCTGTCTCTGTATACGGTGTTACAGTAGTTGTTGGAGTGGACGTGGTTGTAGTTGTCTCTGTTGATGTTGTTGTAGAATGTGTTGTTTCTGTTTCTGTATATGGTGTTACAGTAGTTGTTGGAGTGGAAGTGGTTGTAGTTGTCTCTGTTGATGTTGTTGTAGAATGTGTTGTTTCTGTTTCTGTATATGGTGTTACAGTAGTTGTTGGAGTGGACGTGGTTGTAGTTGTCTCTGTTGATGTTGTTGTAGAATGTGTTGTTTCTGTTTCTGTATATGGTGTTACAGTAGTTGTTGGAGTGGAAGTGGTTGTAGTTGTCTCTGTTGATGTTGTTGTAGAATGTGTTGTTTCTGTTTCTGTATATGGTGTTACAGTAGTTGTTGGAGTGGACGTGGTTGTAGTTGTCTCTGTTGATGTTGTTGTAGAATGTGTTGTTTCTGTTTCTGTATATGGTGTTACAGAAGTTGTTGGAGTGGACGTGGTTGTAGTTGTCTCTGTAGATGTTGTTGTAGGTGTTGTTTCTGTTTCTGTATATGGTGTTACAGTAGTTGTTGGAGTGGACGTGGTTGTAGTTGTCTCTGTTGATGTTGTTGTTGAAGGTGTTGATTCTGTCTCTGTATATGGTGTTACAGTAGTTGTTGGAGTGGAAGTGGTTGTAGTTGTCTCTGTTGATGTTGTAGAAGGTGTTGTTTCTGTCTCTGTATATGGTGTTACAGTAGTTGTTGGAGTGGAAGTGGTTGTAGTTGTCTCTGTTGATGTTGTAGAAGGTGTTGTTTCTGTCTCTGTATATGGTGTTACAGTAGTTGTTGGAGTGGACGTTGTTGTAGTTGTCTCTGTCGATGTTGTTGTAGAAGGTGTTGTTTCTGTCTCTGTATATGGTGTTACAGTAGTTGTTGGAGTGGACGTGGTTGTAGTTGTCTCTGTAGATGTTGTAGAAGGTGTTGTTTCTGTCTCTGTATATGGTGTTACAGTAGTTGTTGGAGTGGAAGTGGTTGTAGTTGTCTCTGTTGATGTTGTAGAAGGTGTTGTTTCTGTCTCTGTATATGGTGTTACAGTAGTTGTTGGAGTGGACGTTGTTGTAGTTGTCTCTGTCGATGTTGTTGTAGAAGGTGTTGTTTCTGTCTCTGTATATGGTGTTACAGTAGTTGTTGGAGTGGACGTTGTTGTAGTTGTCTCTGTAGATGTTGTTGTAGAAGGTGTTGTTTTTGTTTCTGTATATGGTGTTACAGTAGTTGTTGGAGTGGACGTGGTTGTAGTTGTCTCTGTCGATGTTGTTGTAGAAGGTGTTGTTTTTGTTTCTGTATATGGTGTTACAGTAGTTGTTGGAGTGGACGTGGTTGTAGTTGTCTCTGTTGATGTTGTTGTTGAAGGTGTTGTCTCTGTATATGGTGTTACAGTAGTTGTTGGAGTGGACGTGGTTGTAGTTGTCTCTGTAGATGTTGTTGTAGAAGGTGTTGTTTCTGTTTCTGTAGATGCTTTTACAGTAGTTGTTGGAGTGGAAGTGGTTGTAGTTATCTCTGTTGATGTTGTTGTAGAAGGTGTTGTCTCAGTCTCTGTAGATGTTTTTACAGTAGTTGTTGGAGTGGAAGTGGTTGTAGGTGTCTCTGTAGATGTTGTTGTTACAATAGCTGTTGAAGTAGGAGTAGTGGTATTGGAAATTGGTGTAGAACAAACCGCAATGCAACAATTTACACGTATTTCATAATTATAACAAAGTGGTATCATGCGATCTGCATTTTCTTCATTTGAACACATCAAGCCATAGGATGCATTGCAATGCACGGTTTGCGTCAAGGACGAGTCTGGATAATCTACTGCCCTGCATTCAATGTCTTCTGGTGTCTGACAGGGTATTTTATTTGAAGTCCACAAAGCATCAATGGATTCGGTTTCCAATCCTTGTGGATCTGTGCTGGGTTTGTTGCTGTCAAACCAGTCTGACCACTTACAACTAATGACATAGATACAATTGATTGGTGTTGTTACTGACACTGTAGGTGTTGTTGTTACAGTAGTTGTTGTAGTGGTGAAAGAAGTTGTAGGTGTCTCTGTTGATGTTGACGTTGTAGGAGTTGTAGAAGGTGTTGTCTCTGTAGATGTTGTTACCGTAGTTGTTGGAGTGGAAGTGGTTGTAGTTGTCTCTGTCGATGTTGTTGAAGGTGTTGTTTCTGTCTCTGTATATGGTGTTACAGTAGTTGTTGGAGTGGACGTGGTTGTAGTTGTCTCTGTTGATGTTGTTGTAGAAGGTGTTGTTTCTGTCTCTGTATATGGTGTTACAGTAGTTGTTGGAGTGGAAGTGGTTGTAGTTGTCTCTGTTGATGTTGTAGAAGGTGTTGTTTCTGTCTCTGTATATGGTGTTACAGTAGTTGTTGGAGTGGAAGTGGTTGTAGTTGTCTCTGTAGATGTTGTTGTAGAAGGTGTTGTTTCTGTCTCTGTATATGGTGTTACAGTAGTTGTTGGAGTGGACGTGGTTGTAGTTGTCTCTGTTGACGTTGTTGTAGAAGGTGTTGTTTCTGTCTCTGTATATGGTGTTACAGTAGTTGTTGGAGTGGACGTGGTTGTAGTTGTCTCTGTAGATGTTGTTGTAGGTGTTGTTTCTGTTTCTGTATATGGTGTTACAGTAGTTGTTGGAGTGGACGTGGTTGTAGTTGTCTCTGTTGATGTTGTTGTTGAAGGTGTTGTTTCTGTCTCTGTATATGGTGTTACAGTAGTTGTTGGAGTGGACGTGGTTGTAGTTGTCTCTGTTGATGTTGTTGTTGAAGGTGTTGTTTCTGTCTCTGTATATGGTGTTACAGTAGTTGTTGGAGTGGACGTGGTTGTAGTTGTCTCTGTAGATGTTGTTGTTGAAGGTGTTGTTTCTGTCTCTGTATATGGTGTTACAGTAGTTGTTGGAGTGGACGTGGTTGTAGTTGTCTCTGTAGATGTTGTTGTTGAAGGTGTTGTTTCTGTCTCTGTATATGGTGTTACAGTAGTTGTTGGAGTGGAAGTCGTTGTAGTTGTCTCTGTCGATGTTGTTGTTGAAGGTGTTGTTTCTGTCTCTGTATATGGTGTTACAGTAGTTGTTGGAGTGGACGTGGTTGTAGGTGTCTCTGTAGATGTTGTTGTTGAAGGTGTTGTCTCTGTATATGGTGTTACAGTAGTTGTTGGAGTGGAAGTGGTTGTAGTTGTCTCTGTCGATGTTGTTGTTGAAGGTGTTGTTTCTGTCTCTGTATATGGTGTTACAGTAGTTGTTGGAGTGGACGTGGTTGTAGTTGTCTCTGTTGATGTTGTTGTAGAAGGTGTTGTCTCAGTCTCTGTAGATGTTTTTACAGTAGTTGTTGGAGTGGAAGTGGTTGTAGTTGTCTCTGTTGATGTTGTTGTAGAAGGTGTTGTCTCAGTCTCTGTAGATGTTTTTACAGTAGTTGTTGGAGTGGACGTGGTTGTAGGTGTCTCTGTAGATGTTGTTGTTACAATAGCTGTTGAAGTAGGAGTAGTGGTATTGGAAATTGGTGTAGAACAAACCGCAATGCAACAATTTACACGTATTTCATAATTATAACAAAGTGGTATCATGCGATCTGCATTTTCTTCATTTGAACACATCAAGCCATAGGATGCATTGCAATGCACGGTTTGCGTCAAGGACGAGTCTGGATAATCTACTGCCCTGCATTCAATGTCTTTTGGTGTCTGACAGGGTATTTTATTTGAAGTCCACAAAGCATCAATGGATTCGGTTTCCAATCCTTGTGGATCTGTGCTGGGTTTGTTGCTGTCAAACCAGTCTGACCACTTACAACTAATGACATAGATACAATTGATTGGTGTTGTTACTGACACTGTAGGTGTTGTTGTTACAGTAGTTGTTGTAGTGGTGAAAGAAGTTGTAGGTGTCTCTGTTGATGTTGACGTTGTAGGAGTTGTAGAAGGTGTTGTCTCTGTAGATGTTGTTACAGTAGTTGTTGGAGTGGAAGTGGTTGTAGTTGTCTCGGTCGATGTTGTTGTTGAAGGTGTTGTTTCTGTCTCTGTATATGGTGTTACAGTAGTTGTTGGAGTGGACGTGGTTGTAGTTGTCTCTGTAGATGTTGTTGTTGAAGGTGTTGTTTCTGTCTCTGTATATGGTGTTACAGTAGTTGTTGGAGTGGACGTGGTTGTAGTTGTCTCTGTCGATGTTGTTGTTGAAGGTGTTGTTTCTGTCTCTGTATATGGTGTTACAGTAGTTGTTGGAGTGGACGTGGTTGTAGTTGTCTCTGTTGATGTTGTTGTTGAAGGTGTTGTCTCTGTATATGGTGTTACAGTAGTTGTTGGAGTGGAAGTGGTTGTAGTTGTCTCTGTTGATGTTGTTGTAGAATGTGTTGTTTCTGTCTCTGTATATGGTGTTACAGTAGTTGTTGGAGTGGAAGTGGTTGTAGTTGTCTCTGTAGATGTTGTTGTTGAAGGTGTTGTTTCTGTCTCTGTATATGGTGTTACAGTAGTTGTTGGAGTGGACGTGGTTGTAGTTGTCTCTGTCGATGTTGTTGTTGAAGGTGTTGTTTCTGTCTCTGTATATGGTGTTACAGTAGTTGTTGGAGTGGACGTGGTTGTAGTTGTCTCTGTTGATGTTGTTGTTGAAGGTGTTGTCTCTGTATATGGTGTTACAGTAGTTGTTGGAGTGGAAGTGGTTGTAGTTGTCTCTGTCGATGTTGTTGTTGAAGGTGTTGTTTCTGTCTCTGTATATGGTGTTACAGTAGTTGTTGGAGTGGAAGTGGTTGTAGTTGTCTCTGTTGATGTTGTTGTAGAAGGTGTTGTCTCAGTCTCTGTAGATGTTTTTACAGTAGTTGTTGGAGTGGACGTGGTTGTAGGTGTCTCTGTAGATGTTGTTGTTACAATAGCTGTTGAAGTAGGAGTAGTGGTATTGGAAATTGGTGTAGAACAAACCGCAATGCAACAATTTACACGTATTTCATAATTATAACAAAGTGGTATCATGCGATCTGCATTTTCTTCATTTGAACACATCAAGCCATAGGATGCATTGCAATGCACGGTTTGCGTCAAGGACGAGTCTGGATAATCTACTGCCCTGCATTCAATGTCTTCTGGTGTCTGACAGGGTATTTTATTTGAAGTCCACAAAGCATCAATGGATTCGGTTTCCAATCCTCGTGGATCTGTGCTGGGTTTGTTGCTGTCAAACCACTCTGACCACTTACAACTAATGACATAGATACAATTGATTGGTGTTGTTACTGACACTGTAGGTGTTGTTGTTACAGTAGTTGTTGTAGTGGTGAAAGAAGTTGTAGGTGTCTCTGTTGATGTTGACGTTGTAGGAGTTGTAGAAGGTGTTGATTCTGTCTCTGTAGATGTTGTTACAGTAGTTGTTGGAGTGGAAGTGGTTGTAGTTGTCTCTGTTGATGTTGTTGTAGAAGGTGTTGTTTCTGTCTCTGTAGATGTTGTTACAGTAGTTGTTGTAGAAGTGAAATTGTCTATAATTATCTCTGGACAATCTGGAACACACTTCATGGTCATCTCATTCAGATATGGCGTATCTGGAGGGCACTGAGGAAAACATCCTAGTTGAATAATAAAAGGAAAGCAGAAGTAGACCAAAAGAGACTTGGTTATTGACAGGACATATGGGGATTAACAAAATGTTTCTTAGAGGGTTGCAACCAGTGCTTGAAGTGGGGCAGTACTCACCGGTACGCAATACCAGCACTTCTACATTTTACTCTTAAGCGTACCTGCAGACGTACCTTACATTTACGTTGTTAATAAATAACAATAAATTGTTGTTGTACCAGCAATATCTCTACGTTTTTTTTTTCACTGTATTAATTTCGAATGTCATGAATTGCCAATGGAAGAGAGTAGGCTACCGGCACCTTTTTCCTCCACTTCAAGCACTGGTTGCAACAACTATCTATAATCTATCTAATCTAATTTTAACAAATCTATACAAATTATAACAAATGTTAATGAAATTAGTAAACATTAATTATTAAAGTCACAGTACAGTATGTAAGTTTTGTCGCTAGTGGTTGCTTATTCAAAACAAAGGCAAAGTTTGAAGACGCATGGATGAGCTTGTCATCTTCACCTCCACAGCCGGAAAGCTAGACAATCCGACGGGACTCTGGAAATCATGTTCATGCATGAGCTATATTAAGGTTTTAGTAACGTTACTGTGGTATATACCTAAAATGTTTGTTCTGCTCACTCCACGGCCGTTGACACGTGTGGCAGAGCATATTTTAGATTGGTTTTCAAATTAGCGCCAATTCGGGACGGATTACTTGAACGGTTAGTTCATTAGCCTATTATTCTTAATGAAAAACACAACAACAAAACAGTGCAATGACAAATTCACTTAAATAGGCTGTTGCTGATCTGTGCGGCAACTCTCATTCAGCTCACGATTCATTAAGCAGACATGTTCAGTTTAATAGTTTCTGATCTCTAACTGAGCTAAATGATTTTATAAAAAAAAGTGCAAGATATGTAACCGGTGTTGCTTCTGAACACTGGTAATACCAGTAACACCGACTATCATGAAAGCCTAGTCTCAAGGTGCGTAGAGAGCAGAGGAGCTTTTATTATGCCTATATGCTGCAGTCGGACACTTCGGCCTCTCTGATTCATGTGTATGTGGGGTTACGCAGCACTGTTTTACATGGTTAAAACAATCATAGTAAATATATTAGAGTGTGATGAAAGTTATGTCATAATGTTTCATTGTGCGTTTGCTTCATGACTGCTATGAGCTTTAAGCAAGATCAATATTATATTAAAATAGCTGGATGACTTGTGTTGCTAAATGGGATACAATTAATTTTAAAATATATTGAATGATGGAGAAGATGCTCTAATATTTTTACAATAAATAAAGCTTCACCTGATTATGCTATATTAGCCACAAGATAGTGTTGTCTCTGTATCAAGTAAACGAGATTCAAACAATAAGACTGTGTTGAGGTGTATAACAAGGATTATTTTTCTGTCGATAAATGTATTCAAACAGTTGCTTGACTGTCTAATAAAACGCATAATATCAAAGCATCTATTGTGTTTCTTCGTGCTGCATTTAATAAAACGATATCCAACAACACTAATAGCTCTCTATGAAGCCTCCTCCACGACATGTTCCCTTAAGATAAAAAGTGAAGCATGTGACTTGCATTCTTAAGTTTCAGAAAACCACATCTCACACATCAGAAGTGCATCAAAGTTTATTCTTTATATTCTGCTTATGTCTTGGAAATTTGAATAGCGATCAAATTCATTACATCTTTGCTAAAACATTTCTTTTCCTTCCTGTGTCTGATTGATTTTTATTACCTGTATTAAATCATCACTGATTTCTTTGTGTATTTAAGCCCTTTGGTTTAAGCCATGTTTGGTTAGTCATTGTTTGATTGTATTCATATTGTTTCGGCCGGTTGTTCCTTGAATTGTCGCTGTTTCCCCATATGGACTATTGCCTGTTTCCTGGTCTGTATTATCTGTGTTTTTGTCTTTTGTTATTAAAGTTGTGCATGCACTTGGATTTTCTCTCTGCCTCACCCCCACGCCACCATTACAGAACGTTAATCACACTAAGCCATATTATGATTTCAACTTTATTTTGATTCATGTGCAGCCCTATTTATTTTATTTAATCTTACATTTTATGATTTAATTAATTATTAGCTTCTAGTCAACTCCCGATCCTCCTACAGTTCACTCACAAACCTGGCCTCTGGAAGACAGCAGACTATTACTGCACTACATCAGCCGTCCCAAATTGTAAAGCTCTTTAAAAGCAACCCGACTGAGTGGAGCATGTACTTCAACGTCCAGTTTCAAAGAACTAGGAGAGGCTACAACAAGAGAGTGAGGAATGTGCTTTTTTAGTTCTTAATCCATCTGCTCTATCAACTACCTGCTCTAACCCTCAGTCCTCCTTGGAGGATAATAGCAAAAGTCCTTCAGTAGATCCAGCCAGGAAAAACTTCCAGCCTATAAGCTTGAAAGGTGCAAAGAAGCAACTCCCACCAGTGGCAACTCTACCCCATCTCGTGGTCTTACTTCTTTCCTCTCAGACCACCAGGCAAGTGTGCCCACATGACTATTGCCTCTGAACTCAAATGCTGGATAGGGAAACAAATTAGTAAATGGGATGCCAATGGCAATAAAGGCCACTTTCCCTGTCAGTTACCGTTTCCCTGGGCGTCACCTTAAAAAAAGGAACTGAAAGACTTCTACCACCGATCCTCCAGGGAAGCGCATTGCCGGCTTTAAGCATGCCCCCTATGTCATCCAGTCCAAAGAGACATGGAGTCAGTTGTGATAATAACATGCTCTTGGCCAGAGCTAGAGGGTGAAGCCCGAGAGAGGGGTATAGTGCATCAAAGTCCCGCCCACAGCTGGTGCCGGAAGTAAAAATTCAATAAAATTTCTCCATTGACATTTGAGATACAAGTCATAAAAACGTAACCATACATGGTAGACTTAAAACCAGCTACGGCTGTACTAAGTGATTGTATATGCTCATATAAATGCCAAAAGTTCATGCGGCACTAACCTTGTTTTAAGATAAATGCCTTTAATTCGCGATGTATTGGATAAATACTTCATTACCCACAATCCTGAACAATCCCACAGTGATGCATCTGATTGGTGGAAGTCGTGTCACGTGTCTGAAACCCCGCGAAGGTACTGAAGATCGTGAAATGACGTAGGGCTAAGTTCATTGGTCGCACCTCTGAGACGCCCTCGCGCCATTGGATGTGCAGTTGCGCAGCACAGCCTATGAGCGAGCCAGATGCTCAATGTTTTAGCATGTGGAGCTGCAAATGCGTTTGCTTCAGTAAATCGAGGAAAATGAGTTTCCCTGCACATTCACTATATAAAATTCACTGGAGGAAAAAGTTCACGTGGCCGTCGTCAGATTTGGAAGTCACTCAAAAGGCTCTTTTACGGTGGCTTCAGTCGACTTTAGTGAGGCGCGGTGGTTTATGGGAGGAGTAGTTCCTTTGCTCGGAAATGAAAATAAGTACACTGGCTTGTACCCTTGACTTTTTTTGGATTTTCTCTTCGTTTTTTCACTCAAAATGGTATGTTGTATGCTTATGAGTTCAGCCATAGCTGGTTATCCTCAGAGATGCTCTAATACTCTTTAGATATGGATTTTACAAAATGTCAATGGGAGAAATTAATGGGAAATTTACTTCCGGCACCAATGCTCTCTCTTTTTTTTGCCTTGGCAGCCGCGGGACCCAAACCGCATTGCGCAGACACCTCGCTCCCATCCCCCGCAAAGAGAGTGTCGCGAGAGCGGTGCTTCCTTTAAAATATTAAGTTAGCAAGGATACTCCTTCACAGTGCAATTCTTATCAACAATGAGGAAATCAAAACTAGCCATCAGCCAGCTGGTAACTAGCGAGCTAGTCTATCTATCATTAGTGAGGTCACAAGCTATCATTGGAAAAATTGCAATTACAATTAGTTTGTAATTTCCTACTGGGCAGGGGAAGGGAAGAGCAAGGCTGAGTTGCATTCAGAACTCCAATACTGATATTTCATTGTATGGCAAATTTTACATGCATTTTGTGTATTGTCGAGATGCAAAATATCATTTGTATTTTAACATATTTTCCCCATAGTATTTTGTATTTTATTTAAATCTATTTAAAACTGAGGTATTTTCTATTTTTTTAAATACATTCTCATGTATTTTGCTCTCATCACAGCCTTGCTAATTGTGCAAGTAAAAAAAAAAATCCTCTGCTGTTGGACATTTATATACTGTAAAATACGTTCTTAGAATAAGCAAATCAATATAACCTTCAAGAGGAGGAATTTGATCAGAGCAGGTTCCTGAGGGGTTTCTGCAGGTTTTTATGCAAGTTGGTCCACAGGATTTATAGTGCCACTCACATTCATTATCGGGGTCATAATATCCACAAAATACAGCTGCAAAAACAAACATTTCAGTGAGCACTATGACAATAAAAACTAAGTTCTATGACACTGTGCAATTAAAGTTTATAAATAAAAGTGACCAGAAATGTAATTTATTTTCAGAAAATGACTTACGGCAAATGTCTGGACTCCGCCATGTCACACAAACCTCTTTTTTACGGCATTCAGCAGCATAAGCTGCCACTGCAGTACAGAAACAATCACAGTCACTGCTGTCACATGCACAGGTGTCCCTTACACAGGCATCATAGTATGGGCCAGGGGCCACCTAGAGACAGAAAGACAAAATATTTTACAGCTTCCATCAAGTTCCTCATGGCAGAAGATTAGCGAAACTTTTTGATTCTACTTGCTCAAGAGGTTACTGTTAGTAGAACTAATTCAATTAAATAAAATTACGTAATATAAGATAATTATTTTCTGTGCCACTAGAATCAGAAAATGCAATTGTAAAAATAATAATTGATTTCAAGTCATATGTCAAATTGTTTATTTCAACATTGAAAAAATAACAAACCTTAAACAAATCACCTTTATCCTATAATATTCATAGTTTATACTGATACTTACAGATGCATTACATTCTTCAAAGACTTTGTTATTAACGATGCTGCATCGTTTTTCAGCCCAGGCTTTCCGATGTGGATTTTTTTCACAAAGGTCGATTGTGTTTGTCACATCTAGGCAATTGGTATCCACCTTCCAGCTATTTCCAAATTCCACAGGATCGGTCACCTCTTCTCCATTGTGCTTCATAAAGTCATTATTCGCATTGCCATCAAAGTTTCCACACAGCCCACACACCTTGCCCTGCCACAGAGATCATACAGATGTTTAGGTGAGTAATTGAATAAAGATAGTAGTTTTACCTGTGTGTTTGTGTCTGAATGGCTGTACCTTTAAGGAATGCATACCTTTAATTTAGGATGGAGTTGGAGCATCAGGCTTGTTTTATTGTCCCAGATTAAGTTTAAAAGACCTTCGACCTCTGTGACAATATATATCCCAGCAGAACGGATCTGATATTGGTAATCTGTGCCATTGGTTTCAACAACTTTGACTCCATCCTCTGATAACAGTATCTCGTATCGCTGCAGGATTTGAATAGTGAGATCAAAACATTCTCCATAAATCTGATATAGGTAATTGGATATATTTCTCTAATGATATTATCACAAAGGACAAAAAAATATGTACAGATTTTGCATTTAAAATTAAAAAAAATATCTATCCTCATTATATAAATGATACACGTTTGTGATTTTGTTGTATATTGCACATTTTTACACATTTTCTAATACTACATTCCTGCTCAGTATGAGCTATGAAATAAACTCACCCCAAAGGAGAGACTGATTGACTTGCAGATGGTGTCGGTGGTCAAACAGAGTGTGTTCTCTATGACAAGGCGGAAGGTTGGAGTCTGGTCCATATTGCAATAATCCTAAAGCGGTTACACACAATAACATGTCAGGGAGTGAAAAAGTTGACATAGAGGGGTAAATTCACTAAACAGTTGGGTAATACTTTATTGGTGCCTTTTGAACATTCTTTGGCTATAAGTAACTTTGCGAATAGGACTACATGTCAATTAACTCTCATTAGAGTATCACATTGTGTCCTAACCAGGCGCTAAGATGCGTTAAGATTCTAGCGACGAGCAACTTATCTGTCCACACCAGAAATGACGTGCTACAAAATGCGACAAAATCAATCAAAAATCATGGCAGCAATTGTACGGCACCAGAGATTTATCGTGATGCCATTCGCAAGGAAATGGATAGGAATAATCAAATTCAAGTTTAAAAAAAAATAAAAAATTCTAGAGCACATTTAAAATCATTTTTCTTTAATCATTTATAAGTGATATATAATTGTAAGAGATAATGCATAATTATTATGCTGGTTTTCTTTTACAGGTAAAATGGGCCAAAAAAGAGATTTAACTCACTGCAATGCTAATACAAGACTAGAAATTATGAATGACCAATGGACAGCAAAACGCTTGTTAGTTCGGCAGGGTCATACAAGAACAGGGCAAGGGCTAACTAACTAACTAAAAAAAAAAAAAAAGAAGAAAAAAAAAGGGAATTAAAGTGAAGAATTCGGTGTGAAACCATCAGAAACCTTTTAGTCTCCAGCACCACCATTTTCCAGAACGGCAATCTATGGAGTCTCCAGAAGGACCAGTGAGCGCTGTCCATTCAACCCGGTCTCATCCCAAGACGTCATATAACTGACGTTTTGGGACGTCTTTTGACCATACGTCAATATTCGCCTTTTTAGGGCCCCCTTAAACGTCGGTAGATGAGGTTATGGGATCCTAACTCTACCCCAGACCTAAACCTAACCCTAAACCTAACCCGTCACCTAACTGACGTTAAAGGTAAAGCGTCAGTTGTATGACGGCCCGGGATCGCCATCTACCGACGTTTAAGGGGGCCCTAAAAAGGCGGATATTGACGTATGGTCAAAAGACGTCCCAAAACGTCAGTTATATGACTTTTTGGGATGAGACTGTGTTACCATTGGTCATGCCTAATGTAGCCATTTCTAGTATTGCATTAGTATTGCATTCTTCTCATGAGCATTTATCAAATTTTGACTTTTTAGTATGAGTTAAATCTCTTTTTTTAGCCTGTTCTACCTGTAAAAGAAAACCTGCTTAATAATTATGCACACCCTAATATAAGGCGTTTTTCACTTCCAACCTTCCTTAATTATATATAACAAATTATAAATGATTAAACACAAAATGAATAGTAGTTATTATCATATAATCATTATATGCACGCATAATTAAAAACTCACGTTTTTATATGTCAATCGAAATAAAATTTGAATTGCAATATGGGGTGATATGATATCACGCACACCCACCCATTACTTTCTAATAATTCAACAGCCCGGAGTCAATTATTCCTTACACATATATTACTATTTTGCTTCGGCATGCAATGAAATAAAGGCTGTACTCTAAAATAAGTACAGATACTTGAAAATGTACTTAATTTGACTACAGTAACAAAGTAAAAATACTTAGTTGCTATCCACCACTGAGAGACACAGATAAGGAAAAACATACGTGGGCTAAGGTGTGTTTACAGTCTCCGTGGAAGGAATATTTCCTGCCATCAAAAGTCTTGAAATGACCGTCACCGTAGACGGTACAGGTGCCGTAACACTCTTTATCTGTACAACTCCACATCCCGTTTATGCATGTGCTAAAATATTAAACATTATTATTAAACATTTAATAAACAATTATCATCATTGTTATCAATACTCTAAAACAACATGGTTTATCTAAATGATGATTGGGTGTCTGGCTCACCAGGTGTTACAGTCCTCTTGAACTTTCTTTCCAGGTGAATAGGTGAGTCCATTATGGACACAGGTGCATTTTTCCCTCTCCACACACCCACCTTTGCCATCAGCCAGAAGGCCGTCTGGACACATACACCCTGATACACACCCTGTGCTCACCTATAGGCAAAACAAACCAAACAAGGACAAGCATTAGTACAATATTATGTCCCTAGCAATACAGTATATATATTATTCTTTTCATCCTATTATTCACGTGTTCTCATCCATCCTTTCTAACTTTTCTAACTCACACAGTTGTTTAGGTCTTGTTTCTCACACGTCCTCTGACACTCTGTCCCTCTTGTTCCAGGATTTGTGCAGTTGAAGAAGACCATTGGATCTACACAGTCTAAATCAGAATAGCACATGGATGAGGAGCAGAAAACTTGCAGACGTCATACCAATGTTGCTGTATCTCAGTAAAGTCTTAAGTTTGAATTTGGCAGATGGTATTGCTGAAGAGGTTATCTTCGGCTCACCTGCTTGGCTGGAGCAGTTCAATTTTCCATGGTTGCATTTGCTGTAACATGACAACATCATGTTACATCATGTGAACCTCAAGAGTAACAACAGGATTTTTATCAATAATGAACAAGTCAATAATGGAGCATGTTTAACTACTATTTTTACCATTTAACACCATTATTGTAGAATATTCCTGATGTGTCTATGACTTTGTCACCATAGTAACAAGGACACTGGTCTGCATGTACACAGCTGCCGGCTTCATTGAGGTATGTTCCCTCAGGACAGACACAGCCGTCTACAGGTGTGAAGGACCCTTGGCAGGTGTTATCGTGAACACTGAGAGAGCGGCAGGTGCTTCCACAGCTGGTCACTCCGTAAGAGTACTTCATGTTTTCTGGACACTCAGTCACTGTCCAGACAGATTAGCACACTTTTGTTATGATTCATTGTTTAATTTCATGCAAAATCAAAATCATGCATGTTAATAATATAATACTCACATTCACATTTACATCTCATGCCATACATATAAACAGACAAACACATGAAATTCTCACCACAGGGGTCTGAATCCATCCAGCCCTGGAGAATGACTCCTTTGGCAGCACATGCGTGGGCATACGTGGACACGGCCGCACACATACACTTTTTAATATCTGCACACTTGCAGGTGTCATAGACGCACCACTGCAGAGGATGAAACCCAAATTACATTAATAAAGAGGGCTCTGTAAATTTGTGCACCATGCTGCATCTGTTTAGTTCAAAAAGACTCACTTGGTAGTAAATCTCAGGACATATTTCCGAATGACATGGGGAAAAGACTCCGTTTGGGTTTGTGAGACGGGAACACCATTCTTTAGCTATTTTCTCTTTAAAAAAAAGTGGATAAAAACATTCAGTACAGTTGAATTTTAACCCTATCCTGTCCTTGTCCTCTAGTATCCCAAATAACATGGATTAAAAATATCAGGAAGGGGGAAACAAAGCCTCTATTTATACTATGAACTATTTTTATATTCTCCCAAAATCCTTTTATCAGTGCATGTTGTATTAATGTTGTATAATGTTTATAAAACTGAGTACCTGTCTCTGAAATCAAGCTGCAGGGATTTTCTGGGAAAAATGTGTTTTTGACATCTGTACAACTGTACAAGTTTTTCGTCCATAAATTGACAAATGTTGTTGGTGTGCCCTCCGTAATGCCTGATTCCGTTTTAAAGTCGTCTTCTTGGACGTCGTTATAGTTGCCACACAGACCTGAGAGGAGCAAGGTGTAGAATTAAAAGAAGTTAGAGACAGTCATAACACTCTTTTTATTTGATTATTTGTATACAAGACTTTTCCTAAAATATATGTGCAGAGGGTAGAGTTATTATTAACATTAGTGGGGTCATTACAATCAAAATTACAAAATGATTTGCTGTCTTCTTTACTAACCGCTCATTTTTCCTTTCTCTTCAGTGCTGGCGACAATATACAACTGCATGACTGGAGCCAACTGGATCTCTAGACGAAGACTCTTCATATTAGCAATAATGAAGAAGGAAGAGGGCTGGAAGATGCTCACAGGACCTGCATGGGACAACAAAATGGGTGGGTAAGAAATAAAACAAGGCACAAAAGAGTTTTGCATCTCAATCAGCTCCTTAGTTCAGTAGTCAGGGCACTGTCTCAATCCCAAAATCCTTCCAGTGTACTGAAACGTTCGCTCCCTAAAAAAAAAATCACACAATGCACCGCAAAAACCAGAGAGCATAATGCTCACTATGTTCCCTTAACGTATATTCTGTTAAATTTTCTGAAACGCGAAACATTAATTGCATGAGCCAAATACACAATACACATCATGACACGAGATAGAAAGATCGCTATTAAGTGTATGCTGGGGGTAACCCACCTTCAAGGACAGGCAGCAGATATCGACGTCCATTCAGTATAACAGATCCACTGGAGGAAAAACTAATCTGTTTTGAAAGTAAAAAAGCAACAAAAAGAAATTGTAGTTCTATTGTTTTACTGTGAATATAATTAATAAATTAAAAGAAAAAAAATCCAGATTACTAAAATAAAATGTACAATAAATAAGCACACAAGATTGCATTCTAGTATGAAGTTAAACAAAAATAGTTCACCAAAAAGGATAATTCTGTCATCATATCATCCTTGTGTCGTCCTTGTGCCAAACCAATACGATTGACTGATTGACTTCCTCAGGACACAAATTTTCACAATTTTCCCATTTTTCAAGCAAGATTTCAAGCTTTAAAATGGGATGCAAAAGAACCATAAATGTATCTGTTTTAAAAAAAATAATAATAATTTGACTTGTGCACTACAACTTTGTAAATTTTTGTGAGAAACAAACTGAAACTGACTGAAATTTAAGTCATTGTCACTGAAATGACAGTCACTGAAATTAATGAAATTAAGTGAAAATTTCTTCAGTGAAATTAAGTCACTGAAATGACAGCTGTTAATGGCTGTGATCAAACCACAGTGCAATTAATGCCACTAAACCATTCTAGTTCATTAATGATTCATTCAGACTGGTCTGTGATCCGAATAAAGAATGACTCAAAAGAAAAATTCAAAGAATAAATCAGGTAAACTTCACTACTACTACAAGCAACCAATACATTCTTCAAAAACTTGTATGGGTATTCAACAATGTGAGTGTGAGTAAATGGATTTTCATTTTTGGGTTAAAAAAAATTCCATTCAATTATTTAGTTGCTGGCTGCCCTATATTTTTAAGTACAATCTGTAACAGCTTTCCATTAAGCCGCTGTGGTATTGGCAATAGGAGTGAGCAAGTAATTAACTCGTATAAACTCCATGAACTCAGATATAAGATGCAACAATGTCTTTATTTCTTGTGCTCTAATTGATACATGTTGCTTCCAATTAGCTTTTTGTGCTGTTTCATTCTTTGTTGTTCAAACATACTAATCCATACCTTGCAGATACAGCGCACACACATTGTCCATATTCCATTTGTCCTTGAATATCACTCTTTATCAGCGAGCATGGTTAAGCACCATTAAACTCAATCCAACACAAACAAACTTAAACATGGTCAGCATGGTATTCCACATAGTACATGGCTTAACACGGTCAAAAAACTGTGTGCTTCCCATACACCTGTATCTCATTATTACCCATGTGGTCTTCATATATCAATGTCAGAGTGCCCCTAGTGGACAAAACTATAATTGCATTAGAATGGCTCCTACACAATCATTTCAACATTTCAACTTAAATTAAATTAAACTGACTTAAAATATTGCTTAAAGGTCCCGTTCTTTGTGATCCCATGTTTCAAACTTTAGTTAGTGTGTTGTTGATGTCAGAGTATAAATAATATCTGTAACATTATAAAGCTCAAAGTTCAATGCCAAGCGAGATATTTTATTTAACAGAAGAAGCCTACATCGAACGGCCCGTTTGGACTACATCCCTCTTCTTCCTTCTTTAATGACGTCGGTAGAACAGTTTTTCGACTAACGTCCGCCCACAGGAATGCTCCCTCAACTCCCTCAACTCGCGCACTTCTTATAACTTACTGTGTTTACTCAGCTCTTATGGTGATTTTCTGAAGTAAAACTGACGCTTCATCTTTTGTGTGATGTACAATAAACTTTATTAAACTCATCAGTATACGTTTGATCATCATTCGGGCCTGGTCCGAAACAGCAGACTTGTAGGCTATTTATAATTGATACATACAAGCAGATGACAAATACGTTATAATAACCGTAATTAAACTACTAAACTATACCTGTTCCATCTCTATACAGCACTCTGTAGGCATTACTGTCCGACTCGAAATGAACACAGTTAGAGAGTTTTTGATATTATCATCATTCCGTGAGATGAAATTGTCCTGAGAGACTGAGTGAGCTCATGAAGCTCCGCCCCCTGTCCTGCATTTGCATTTAAAGGGCACACGCTATAAAAGCGTGTTTTTCTGAGCTCCAAAAAATGGCAATTTAAACATGCTGTAAAAATGATCTGTTGGGTATTTTGAGCTGAAATTTCACATACACATTCTGGGACATCAGAGACTAATTTTACATCTTGTAAAAAAGGGGCATAATATGGGACTTATTTTGATGAGCTAAAGCAAAAACATATGTTGTCATGTTGATCATATAATTTCTTTCAGTGTATTAGGTTCTAAGTCAAAAGTTCAATTATACAAACGCTTGTTTTCTCTAGCAGTGATTTTCTGTTTTCCCTTGCAAATAGTTAGTTCAAAACCCTCTTAAATTAGAATAATTTTGGTTGATTCTGTTGATAATTTTAAAATTTTAAGATTAAAAGATTATTTCATTAGTTATGAGTTATATAAGAATGAATAAATACATGAATATTAAACATTACTTACAGTGGTCTTTGAGATGACAAGGGTCACTGAATTTAGACACGTGTCTGTTCGGCCCGGACCACACACTGCCAGATTTCCCACGACAGCAATATCACTGTCACTAGAGTGCTGAAATCAAACAAACAAAATAAAATTCGTAATTTAAAAAAAATTGAGTTTTTCAGGTGGTCTCTTTTAGTTCAGGTTGAGGTGCATTTGCTTTAATGAGAGTCGCAGACCTTAGTGAGGATGTAGTCACAGTTCCCATTAAAAGAAAATCTTTTTCCATCGTAAGTGGTGATGTGAGACCCTCCCACAACAGAGCAGATTCCGGGACATTCCAGATCCGTGCAGCTCCAATATCCAGCCGCACACACACTGAGACAGTATGAAAGCAGTGTTAGCATGTGTATGTTCTGTCAAATGTCAGGACTGTCTGGTCTCTAGCGACCAATTTGTACGAATTCGACGAATGATTAAAAGGAATGTCTAATTCGTTCGACCTCACTCGTACGAATTTGTACGATTTGTCTAAAGCCACGTGATGGGTAGGTTTAGGGGCGGGGTAAGGGGTAGGTCATTCGTACGAATTCGTACAAATTGGCCAATTCGTAAAATATGTACGATTTAGCAAAATCGTACTAATTCGTACGAGTGAGGTCGTATGAATTGTTACGAATTAGCCACTTTTTAATCACTCGTCGAATTCGTACGAATTGGTCGTGAGATCGGGTTGGTCTGGTGCATGTGGTCTATTACAAACGACTCACCATGTTTTACAAGCTTGTGTGTATGACATTCCTGATGAGTATATGTTGCCATTGTGCTCACATGGGCAGTCGTTCACAGGAACACAACCGTTATTACCAATGTCATCCTCAACGGTGCCTTCACAAAAAGTAGGCAAAATTTCTTAGGCAAACAGTTCTGATACTTAAACTCTGCTTGCATCTAATGTAATACTTTAAGCATGATAAGGTTATTCTTGCAAGGAGAAGCTTCATTTGAAAATAGACCCCTTAAGTGGTAATGCTTAGGTGCAAAAAAACACCTAGCATTTTGTAAATAATTTCTCACCTTCAGGGCAGAAACAGCCGTCCACACAGTGTTCGTTGCACGTTAGAGTTGCGGTTGGATCTTTGCAGGTGTTCTTGCACGGACTTCCACACTCCAGGTATTGCATGTTTAGAGGACATGTCTTTGCTGCTCCAGAATAACACATATTAAGTCACAAATCTATCTATTGATTTAATTTATTTCAAGCTTCCAGAACTGATACTCACGGCAGAGCTGCTCTGTCCTCCATGTTCCTGGATTTCCTCCAGCATGTGTGCACTGTCGTGAAATCTCCGTGAGTGTGTTGCAGAGACAGTCGTGATTGCCGTAACATTGACACAGGTCGTTCACACAGGCCTCTTCAAATGAACCCATGTTCATCACATTGTAACAGTCGCTAAACCCTGGACTGCTGAGATACTGCTGGCAAACACTTGTCTAGGAGATTTAAAAAAAAAAAAAAAAATCACAGAACTTCACTGGTGATTTTTTTTTAGCATTTTAAAGGCCCTTCAACTAAGAGAATATACAACCACAACAAATTTGAAAAAATGCTGAAATATTATACAATTTAAAAGAAGTAAATTATCAAATTTAATAGAATGTGAAAAATAAATGTTAAAAGAAATGTTTCTATTTTTTTTTTTTTTTTTTTTTTTCAAGAAATGTGAGCACAGCCCAAAAATCTGTTAATTTGTCATAATAGGCTACCTGATTTTTGCACTGATCATTAGGGGGAAGATTGACGCCGCCACAGGATTCAGGTGAAGGCACCTTCCTTTTGGCCAGATCAGAAACATCTGTACATGTTTCAAAGTAAAAAAAAAAAAAAATCATTAAAAAGAGATATCAATAAAATAAGAATTACTGAAATGGAAGCTGTAGCGTTAAGTTCTGCCAGGAAGACTCAATTGCTACGTCACTTATTACCTTCTCATCTATCCAATCGTGTCTAATACTTGCGGTATAAAAGATCGGTACTTACACGTTTGAGTTCGCAGATGCTGACGCTTTCATTTACCTCCATCCTCCCCACCACCACCAGGATGGTCCCTTCCTATACCTCCCAGGGGGTCGGACCGTCGGCTGCGCCCCTGCCTTCGCCTTCAGGCAGGAAATGCAGAGTCCGGACCCTCGGATTGCGAGCTATGATGGGTGATTTTATCTATGCTAAAGAACTTTATTGGGCTATCTGGGCTATCAATAAATGTATTTATTGTTACAGTATTTATTCTCCGGAGTCTTTCTGGTAGAACTGCAGGTGATTTTATCATAATGAGGTGGTTTTACCATTGTCAACTGAATCATCAGCCTGGTTGCCATTGAAGTTTCCACAGAGTCCACAGGTCTGACCTTTGTACTTCTCAGGAAGTTCAATCTGGAATATTATATAAAAATATACGATTTTTAGAGGACTGAGATCAGGCCTTTTTTGACACACTGGTTTACAAATTTACTATACAGTAATTGCATATTTGAACAGAGAAATAGCATACCAATAAAGATTGGTCCTTCTCCCAAAAGACAGTCACTCCATGTTTGTTAGAGATCTTAACACTTGATGTGCTCAACTCGACTGTTATTCCATTCTTATAGGTTGAATTATTCAATCTGTTAGAGCAAGTTGCAAAAGAAAACAGTCAACTAAAGAAAGATGTGTTAGTAAAAAGTTAAAAAGTTAGTAAAAATAAACTCACTTTTGGTCGTCCATGGTGATGTCGTTGTCGGTGAGTTTAATGACTGCCTCCTTTAGATCTATTGTGATTTTGCTAAAAACGATTGAGTCATTCACAATCTCTCTTTGCATTTGGATGTTAAAATCAGATGGTGTGTCACACATCACGGCCAGAATGTAGTTGCACGTGTCTGGCACTTGAAAGAAATGACCGTCGAATGTCTTGAAATGGAAATTTCCCCACGTGCTGCAGATCGTGGACTGATGATCAGGATTTGATTCTGCAAAAGCCAAGAGAGCATATATATATATATATATATATATATATATCTGTACTAGCACTTAAAAGGCAGTTTCAATTGTAACCCAAAAAAAAAAAACAGTAAGACTTCATCCATACCTTTAGTGACCATCACAGTGTTTATGTTGGGAGGGAAAACTAAAAAAAAAAAAAAAGAAGAAGAAGAAGATGAGAGGAAGAGTTTGTTTTTAAGATTTCTGCTGTTATTAATATCACTAATTAATTAGTGGAGGTATTTATTTTACAAGATAATGTGTAGGTTAATTTAAATATTTATTTAAACATATTCAAGATTTATCAAGATAAAATTATTATTATTTTATAATAATTCTTTGTAAATTTAACTAGTACTGGGACTAAATGTTTTCAGTTGATATGTCAATTAATAGGACTGTGAATTTAACACATTTACTCAAATAGTTTTCCATGATTAATTGTGAATTGTGCAATTGATACTTTTTTGAAACTTATCATAAATGCTGTTCACTTACAAACTGAAATAAATTAATGTGGGATGAACATATAGTAAACTGTGTTTTAAATAATATTTGTGTAATGGGATATTTTATTCTGATTATTTAATTATTTAATTAACACACATAAAAAATGAAATATTTACCAGCTGCTGTTGACACGAAGTCCACAGAGTAACCCATACCTTCCATATAATTTGCTTTTTATAATTTGATCTTATAACTTTAAGATAAAATGTATTGCGTTTAATTATAAGTCCCTTTGCCATGGGAAAGACGGAACACGCGTGAAACCTTCGCCTCTGATCAAACACGCCTTTGGATCGATTTAGATTTAGTCTTACAAATTGGTTATAAAGCGCATATTAATACCCAACGCATTCTCACCCCAAGGCGTCACCTTTGACCATGCTTCAATATTTGACGTTTTAGGCACCTTATTCTGCATTGCCCATATTCTACATCCCACCATCATACCCAATACCTACAGTTAACTTAACAACTACCAAACTATTAATTACCTAATGAAGTTTATTGAGGCAAAATTCATAGTTAATATTTAATTACTAGTGAGAATTGGACTATTGTGGAGCGTGACCAAAAATACATTTTATTACTGCACACTTTTATACCTCAAAATATTTTGTTTTCCTAGACAGAGAGAACAGTTTTTCTAACTTTTTTATTTCATCGATGATAAATTTAAACCAAAATATTTGATACATAATAATTGAATATATTTTATTGACTTTATGTTTTAAGGTATACTTGTTGTGGAATGTGACATCTGTTAATGTATTTGGTACATTACAAATCTGCATCAATGCAATCAATATGTCTTGTATAATACATGTAAAGACAATTCAATATTTACCTGGTGTTGTTGTTGGCGGCCAGGTAAAGTCCATAGGATTTTCCATGTCTGCATAATCTCCCATAAAGTCTTTAAACAGAGATTTATTTTGGATGTTCATTTTAAGAATTTTAAGCTTTTCTTTTCTTTTCTTGTTTTTGTTCTTTTTTCAGTTGTAGTCTACTTACCTGCTTGTACGGACTGCAGCCCGACCAATAGGACGACCCATCTCAGCATCCACTTCTGGGACATCCTCACAGTCCCCATGGAAACATCCATCCTCAAGAGCTAATGTGAGCTGTTTGTCAGCACTTTTCTATTTATAATGACTATCAGTTTGCTTTGGAGGAATGTGGTTTGTTATTAGAAGGTGGAACCAGGATAATGCATTTCCACAGTATTCTATCTTTTTCAAATTAATGTGTAACATACAGTATAGCTGTATTTGCAAAGCCTGTATTTGCGAACAATGCAAACCTTGGCGAGAAACCCTTTCTCATTAACAAAACCGTATTTATCTCTGTTATCATCTCAAACTAAACAAGGATGTGAGTTCTGACGGTGGGGATTTAATTACTTATAATATATAAATACATAGTGTGATGCAGTTATCTATTCAATAAATAGCTATACTGTTGCTAGTTCTGGGTTAGCAAGAGATTTGCATTTACATTTAAGAGACCCTGTTTTGCAATAAGAAAGAATATTGGCAGGCAGTAATGTTGTCTATATTTTGAACAAGCCGTTGTCGCAGAGCAACCCACAGACTGGCGTACTGTCTGGAAAGCCACAAATATTTCTGACAGAATACACTGTAAGATGACTGGAACAACCAGCTTCAGCTGTTTAAGTTTGTTGCTTATAATGCTTTTATTTAATCTTGTGCAAAATACACATCTTGTTTCGGGGCTGGCTGCTGCAACGCATTCTCACCCCAAGGCGTCATCTTTGACCATGCTTCAATTTAGGCGCCCCTTAGCGTTAGTTACATGACGCGATCCTACGGCGTCATCCAGCTGACGCTAAAGGAAAGCGTCAGTTAGATGACACGGTTAGGTTTAGGTCCGGGGTAGGGTACACGCGATCCTAGGGCGTCATCTAACTGACGCTAAAGGGCGCCTAAAGCGTCAGATAATGAAGCATGCAGAGAATGGGCTGAAAGAAACAGTACTTAAAGGAGTAGTTCACTTTTGAAAAAACTTTTGCTGATAATTTACTCACCCCCATGTCCAAGATAGAAATTAAGGTTTTTGATGAAAACATTCCAGGATTTTTCTCCATATAATGGACTTTAATGGGAACCAGACAGTCCAAGGTCCAAAAGACAGTTAATAACTGTTTCAGATGCAGCTTCAAATGTCTTTAAACGATATCAGACGATGAATAAGGGTCTCATCATGCGAAACGGTCGGTTATTTCAAAACTTATTCCAAAAATGTAATTTTTCTAAGGACAAATGCTAACCTTGCTCTATTCTGTGAGGCACGTTTGTAACGTCACGTAATACGTAATTATGTTCAAAAGGTCACGGGCGACGTAGCCGGAAGTACAGAATCAAAATCGTCCAACATCGTTGTTTTACCTTTTAATTCCTTTTTTTGTAAACGGCGTTTGAGTTAGTTTTCACGTTCAACCTATGCGTTCAACTTGTAAACACTGACTCTGTACTTCTGGCTATGTCGCCCGTAACCTTTTGAACATAATTACGTATTACGTGACGTTACAAACGCGCCTCACAGAATAGAGCAAGGCTAGCATTTGTCCTTAGAAAAGTTACATTTTTGGAATAAGTTTTGAAATAACCGATCGTTTCGCATGATAAGACCCTTATTCATCGTCTGGTGTCGTTTAAAGACATTTGAAGCTGCATCTGAAACTGTTATTAACTGTCTTTTGGACCTTGGACTGTCTGGTTTCCATTGAAGTCCATTATAAGGAGAAAATTCCTGGAATGTTTTCATCAAAAACCTTCATTTCTTTTCGACTGAGGAAAGAAAGACATCTTGGATGAAATGGGGGTGAGTAAATTATCAGCAAAAGTTTTTTTAAAAGTGAACTAATCCTTTAACCACTCTATTTCATCAGAAACGATCTTAAAACAGGGCTTTAAGTGTAAAATACCGAACTTGTCCTTTAAGTACCTTTAAGATGTTAACCACATCATAAGATAAGCTATCTATAGGTCTACAAAACTAATCAAATCCAACTGAACTAATCCTTTAAGGATGTCAAATATTATTCATTAATTTGGGTATGTCGCATGGCCAGCTTCTTAAAATACATCAGTGGCATTGTCTCATTTTGTCTCAAGATGCACACCAGTAGTTTTTTTCTAAGGCACATTTATAAAAGCGTATTTCTCCTAATCGAACCTTGGTCTAATCATGTGTAATCTAAACCCAGCTAATTTGAATCCACTGCTGAAAATTAGGAAGATCTCACACAGTGAAAACTGCTCTTTTAACAACAGGATAACTCCCCGATCATAGCATAAACATACCATTTTAGTCAACATACAGACAATTCATTTTCCATGAGATAGGAAAATTAAGATTCAGTAGCTGAAGACTATTGTTGTTGTTTTTTATGATAAGAGCAAAACCTAAATGCCTGTCAAGCTATGACAGAGGACAAACTGTCACATGAATGACTATAAATCAACACTATTATAAAATACAAAACTGATATAAGCAGTAGATCATTTCAGCAATGCCAATTGTGCACTCGATTTTACATGCTTTAATGATCTTAACATTTCAAAGCAATTTAATAGTATTATACAATTTCACTACCAGTAAAAAATTATTTTTAAAGCTGACAACATTATTTGGTCATTTAGTTCAATAGTATTCTGTAGCTCAAACAGTAGATCATGGTGCAAGAGACACACAGGTTATGACAAATGCTGTAAATTTGAATATACAGTATCTGACCTGTTCTAGAAGGAATATATAAATATGTGAACCACATAAACAAAAAAAAAATGTTTTAGTGCAAGACTCAATACACGTGTGTTGAATTTTAATATGCTTTTTTATTTATTTTCATTTCAAACAAGCAAAAGAGTACACCTTTATCAAGCACAGAAAAAAGAAGAGACCTATAGATAAAATGCAAGAAATGTTAAAAAATGTGCCATTTAAGTTAATTTCTGATTACAAATTTTCACTACGATACTTAAGAGACATTTCGTTTTTGCATGGGTTTGATGATTCACCGCTGCTGCTCACGGAAGTCCCAAGCTGCGTTTTCTTTGGCTGTTTTCAATGAGTGCGTCGTTTATGTGACAGTCAGTTCTGCTACAGGAGCACTCTTCGACATGGATGTACGAGTGGGTTATTATGTCTCCATTTACGCAACCAAGATTCACTGTGCGATTACTTGAACGCGTGGCCTGGCAACAGCTACAGGAGGACAATCCAGGTGCAGTGTAGCTATGTATGAAAGAGAAAAAAACATGTTAAACATTTCAAATCGGTCACTTATGTCTGTTTCAGTGAGGATGCTGCTTGTAGGTTTCGTAACAGAAACCTACTCACCTGCTAAAGCTGTTACAGTCTCCACTACAAAATGTCAGGTCCATTTTCTTCTCTGACTGGCAGTCCATGTGATTTATGTAATCGCTAACAATCTTTACTCCACATCCCGTAACTTGGTCCACACCTACAAACACAGGCAATTGAATGCACAAGGACATGTTAATTGACTCAAATCACCAAAAAATTGAATCGTTTTCATTTTTATAATTACTCACAAACACGGCAGCAGCCATCAGCTGACAGCTGAACGGTACCCTGTAGAGCGAATCACAAGGGCAGAATGTCATCAATGTGATTCAATCACCATGACTTGTCAGTATTACATGTAAATGAGTGTTTGTGTGATATTTGAAGTACTGACAGGCTGGCAGTTCGTAACGTTGAAAGGAGGGCACTGGACTGTGTATTTGTCAGTGATGAACTGTCCATTAACTTTAGTGCATGTGATTCTGTCACAGCCCTGGTTTGTAGAGGGTAAACTGGCTCCGTCCTATAGAGGAAAAGAGAACAAGTCAAATTCAGTTAAAGGACATTGCAAAAACATTTAGATTTAGATTTAGATTCAGAGAATAATGGCTTAAATTTAGCTGTTTCTCACACACATTCAGAAAACGTATTTTATAATGCTTTTTTGTCCAGCTTCAGGTTTTGTTTTGTTTTTTTGAGGACAATTCAATTCTGTTGTATGGGGAAAAGCAGCACGAAAGGTTTCGTTTTGTGTCCAAGGGCTAAAAATCATTTTTGACATGAGGATAAGTTACAATTTTTTTGGTAACACTTTACAATACGGGACGGGTGCACTAATAAGCATTAATTCATGCTTAACTAATGCACAGATAATACTAAATTAATGTGTAAATAATGATTATTTAAGCTATTTATTAATGATTACCACATTAGGAACTAATTAAGAGTCTGTAAGGTTAATTTATTAGTTCATACATGAATTTTTATTAATTAAATATGTAATTGTGGATTAATTCTAAAATAATTGATTTTTTTAACTAATAGTGTTAATTAATATGTTAATTACCAGAATAAGCCAAAGCCTTGTATTTCAACTTCTAGAGGTACACTAATATGCATTAATACATGATTAATTAATTCATTGTTAGTGCAAAATTCATGTGCAAATTACTACAATTACTAAATGACTAGTTAATAATGATGTGTCCCAACAAGTAAAGTCATAACATAATGATACCTTTGCAAATCATTAGCTAATGATTAATTAAAGCAGACAACTGGAAGTTGAAGTGCATAGCTTTGACTAATTGTGGTAATTAACACATTAATTGACACTATTAGTTAATAAAATATGTTATTAAGGAATTAATACACAATGCCACATTGAATTAATAGCAATTCATTTATTACTTTATCTATTCATCATATAGACTCTTTATTAGTTGCTGATGCAGTAATCATTAATTAATTAATGGTTTAGTTCTTCATGAGATTATCTGTGCATTAGTTAAGCATGAATTAATGCATATTAGTGCACCCGTATTGTGTTACCATTTTTTTCTTTCAACATTTATTTGCATTTTTTTTCCATTTCAGCCACACGTCAAGATGACGTTGACCTTTGACCGTACCTGCAGTATATGCTCGACGCCGTTGATGTTGATGATGCAGTGAGTTTGCACACACTTTCCACAGCAGTCATGGCCTGTATCAATATATTCATAACCCTGGGAAATACAAACATCAAATGAAGTCGACAAAATTCAACTCGTTCCTGAGACAAGCCTATCAGAAACTCGTCAAACAACTTACAGGTTTACATTTCTCATCGCACTGCACAAATTCACATTTGATCTTGAACCACTGTGTTTTAGGATCCACATCCCAGGTACAGCTACATTCCTGACAGTCAATGACGGGGATCTTGGTACCAGGCTGAGGGAAGTGAGGGGAGAGATTTGAGCGTGCAAAACTTTCATTAATAAGTATTTAAAACAAATAAAAAAGAGCTAGAGATATTTGATTTTTAAAAAAGGGTAATATCAGAGTCATTTTATTTACCTGATACTCTACGTTTTTGTGGACACAAACTTTCTTTGGCTCTAAGGAAGTAAACGACAAAAGATTATAAAACTATATTATAGAATGATTTTCAAGGGGATACAGACAGCATCTGAAATGAAAACAAACAGGCCTAAGAGTATCACAAAAATGAAGTGAAGTGTGAATAATAGTGATACCGCATTTGATTTCTGGACAGCATTTTCCGATAGGCACTTCCAGGACCGGCGCATATCCGACTCCACACTTTTTATCCAAAGGTGGGCAAACGTTGACATCACAATCTACATCAAGAAACAGAGTAGAAGAGACTTAGGCGATGCATCCCTAAAGCAAACCCCTTTAAAAACTGTAAATAAACTTGTCTTACTGCAAACTTGTTTGTTGCAGCATGGATCGGAGGGATTGGTGACGTTGACTAGCACAAAGCCGGGCTCAGTGCAGCTCACAGGATTCACATCAGGACACTTCTTGGGCTTACAGGTCACCGATTTGCTGGCCTTTTCACAAACACACTCTTCGCAGTTGTACTCGAAAACCTCATCAAACTGCCACAAAAAAACAAGAGGATTCGGTTAAAAGTCCTGGAGATAATTCTTTAAAATGGCATTAAATATAAATTCACCCAATTGATTTTTTTAAATGCGTGTTATAGATTATATCCTAAATGATTTATCCATGCATACAGTTCATCCCTTCCATAATGAAGTGCAAGCTTTTATCGATCCAATCCAATCGATCCCTAATGATAGAACCCACCCTACAATTTTTCTTTTCTTTTCATTAATCCGTTAAACTCTGATGAAAATAATACATAGTATGGAATAAAAGATCAGTCACTACTACACAATTGTACATTTTTGTTGGTTTGCCAGCGATAGAAACTCATAAGTGACCGATTTGAAATTCTATAGGCAGCTACAACAAATAGAGCAACTCACATAAAGAGTACTCACATTAGTATTTTGCCAAGCTAAAATTTCAATCTAATATGCATAAAAATGCATATCACAAAAAAAAACAAAAAAAAAAAAACACACTGGTACGAATATAGTTGCACTGTTTTATGAATACTTTTCAGAACTGAATGAATTATAAGGATGAATATAAGTCTCAGTTCTCTCTCCAGATCTATCATCCGATCATCATAGATTGTTGGAATGCATTCTGGAATTAATACATTTAAAAACTATGAAATGAAATACTCATATTGAGTATGGTTTTAAACACCGCCACACCTCACGTGGTGTCCCAGAGGCATCCAGGCATCCTAAAAATAAAAAGGGGAGAACAAAATCAAAAAAAAATGTTTTCAAAAAGTGACCAAGACATGCAGGATGATTCAGAAAAGACACGTTTTTTAAACATTTCAGTTTGAATGCCTATTGCACGCACACACACATGAATTAGAGGCTTCTTACCGCATTTGTTCACACAGACTCCTGACTCCTTGTTGAAGAGCAATGTTCCCTCAGGACAGAAGCAGCCCTCTGTATGCACTGTAATGGTGCTCCGTTCAGGTCTGCAATTAAAATACGTGAGATTCATTTTAACCAATGTTTAGGAGCAAATCTGCATAACAGGCTTTATTTACTCTTAAACTGCATAATAATGTTGACAATAGTGAAGTACATATCTGCCATGTTCCTCAATACTGAATAAGCACTAAACTGTCTAAATTATTAAAAGATTTGAATTAATGGGCATACATATCATCACAGCTTGGTGGTTCAGCTGGACCACAAGGATTGAAGACTTTATCTGCTGGACATTCAATATCTGGGGATGAAAAGACAAACACACTCAAAGAACATCCATAGCTTCGAAGAATATTGGGTCCAAAAGTCTGAGTCTAAAATATAAAAAAGGAATTTAAACCCACAGACGCACAAAAAAAAAAACTGTTTGTGGTTTTGGAAAATCTAAAGAAACAATATGATATCAAATTTAACTTACTGCAAAGGTTAGTGTAGTTCCTCCAGTGTATGCATACCCCTAATTCAGAGCAAGCCCTTGCGTAGCTCTGCAGACTGGTACACACCACGGCAGGGTTGCTCATATGACAACTATCATATTGACATCCTAAAAAGAAGTTGTTAGGGGACACATGGGAATGGCATGCTTCGAACAACCTGTGGAAAACAGTAGTAGTAAATACAACTTTGGAAGCTCCATTCATTGAAATTTATAGTTAAAACACAACACAGAATCAACTTACTCGCTGCTGAGGAGGTTGCATTCAGGATGGGCCTGGCATGGCTCAGGTGTAGGTTTAAGATCACCCCCAACTGTAGGCAATGCAGTTGGTGGAGTGCAAATTTCACCATTCACACCACTGGCTGGCCAGTAATCTGCCATCAATGCACAGTCGTTCACCAAGATCCCTCCAGGGATCATGCAGTCATCGGCTCTGTTGTTGTTGCATGTTCCTTAGTGAGAATTATTTGGAATAATTTAAATAAAAAAATTAATAAAAACATTCCACATTACCATCCACTTTGTAATGTCACCATCCATTCAAAAATCAGGGGCTAACTTACCACAGTGACCTTGTGTGTTGTTTCCAAAATGCTGGAATGGCAGGTTGATGCCAAAGCCAGTGGCTCCAAATGTTATATCAACACCAAGCTGTGGAATACTCAGGAACAAGTCTAGGCCTGAGCTTATAACCCTCACACCATTAAAAGCATATGGCAGTCTTAACTTAACATTGTCCTTAACAGCCTGTAAGGACAAGAGACAATTTCAAGAAAAACATAGGACACTTATACTGCTATGCACAAAAAGAACATGTTTCATCATTCCATATCTAGAAACTCTCACCTCTAGGTCTGCACCTCCAATGAAATTATGATTTGTTAGTGTTATGACTTGATTGTTGTAAGACACAATAATGGATCTGGGACAGGATACATGCTCAATAGGGTCACAGAAGACATTGTCAATGTAGATCTTTAAATGGTATTTAGGCCTTATTTCCTCCATTAATATATAGGTGCAGTTTCCTTGATAACTGTAGAAAAGTCCATCAAATGTGATGTAATGCGGGTCACCCCAGCCTTCACAAAAGCCTACGAACAATAACAAAAAGCCTTCAGATATGTGAACTGAACAAGTTAACTGAATTTGGTCAATACTGTGTATATTAACTGTTGACATTTGAAGAATGAAAAAAAAAAACTTTTTCATTGTAACCTGTGAAAGGCAAGCATGTGTCAATAACGAATAGCTTCATTGTTTTCTTTTAAAATGATTTTTAAAACTATTTCTCCTTTTAAAACGCTAGATGTTCAAGGTGGAAAAAAAACAAGCATTTTCAACAAATACATTCAAAATTTAAAGCTTTTAAATCATGAAAGCATAACAGTTCAAGCACATTGGGCTTGGAAGGACATCATTGCTATTAATTTTAATGATTACTGAATCGAATATAAAAATTGTGAAGACCAGTTACTCACAGTCACATTGGTAAGACTGGCAGCAGTGATGCTCATCATACACAAGCACAGGTTTTTTGCCATTTTCACAGGTAATGTTCTGCAGTGGAGGGCATTCAAATGGGATAATTTCAATAACGTTGTCTTCTATGCACCTTGCCATGGTGCAATCACACAGGATGAAGGTCTCGTTTGTCTGGTGATAATGAAAAATGTACTGGAATTAGAAAGACTGATACATGCAAACTCACGATGTAGTCTATGTTGTATTTTTAGAAATTTAAATGGGATCATGGATACTCTTAAAAGTACATTTCTAATATAGAAAAAATACATATATTTATATTTAGTCCATAACAAAATCAAAGTAGTTTAAAATTTTACGTTTTTGTCCCATTCAGGGCAGCCAGGACGTGGAGTTGGTGTAGGAGTAGTTGCCGGTTTAGGGTAGATGATGTGGTAGATCCAGGTGTTGTTGTGGAGGCTTTGTGGTAGTTGTCAACGTAGGGGTAGATGATGGGGTAGGTCTTGGTGTTGTTGTGGGGGGTTCTGGTGTTGTAGTAGACTTTGTGGTAGTCGGTGTAGGGGTAGATGAAGTGGTAGGTTCTTGTGTTGATGTGGTAGGTCCTGGTGTTGTTGTAGGAGCCTTTGTGGTAGTGGTAGTTGTCGGTGTAGGAGTAGATGATGGGGTAGGTCCTGGTGTTGTTGTGGGAGGTTCTGGTGTTGTTGTAGGAGGCTTTGTGGTAGTGGTAGTTGTCGGTGTAGGGGTAGATGATGTGGTAGGTTCTGGTGTTGTAGTAGACTTTGTGGTAGTCGGTGTAGGAGTAGATGATGGGGTAGGTCCTGGTGTTGTTGTGGGAGGTTCTGGTGTTGTTGTAGGAGGCTTTATGGTAGTGGTAGTTGTCGGTGTAGGGGTAGATGATGTGGTAGGTTCTGGTGTTGTAGTAGACTTTGTGGTAGTCGGTGTAGGAGTAGATGATGGGGTAGGTCCTGGTGTTGTTGTGGGAGGTTCTGGTGTTGTTGTAGGAGGCTTTATGGTAGTGGTAGTTGTCGGTGTAGGGGTAGATGATGTGGTAGGTTCTGGTGTTGTAGTAGACTTTGTGGTAGTCGGTGTAGGAGTAGATGATGGGGTAGGTCCTGGTGTTGTTGTGGGAGGTTCTGGTGTTGTTGTAGGAGGCTTTATGGTAGTGGTAGTTGTCGGTGTAGGAGTAGATGATGGGTAGGTCCTGGTGTTGTTGTGGGAGGTTCTGGTGTTGTTGTAGGAGGCTTTATGGTAGTGGTAGTTGTCGGTGTAGGGGTAGATGATGTGGTAGGTTCTGGTGTTGTAGTAGACTTTGTGGTAGTCGGTGTAGGAGTAGATGATGGGGTAGGTCCTGGTGTTGTTGTGGGAGGTTCTGGTGTTGTTGTAGGAGGCTCTATGGTAGTGGTAGTTGTCGGTGTAGGAGTAGATGATGGGGTAGGTCCTGGTGTTGTTGTGGGAGGTTCTGGTGTTGTTGTAGGAGGCTTTATGGTAGTGGTAGTTGTCGGTGTAGGAGTAGATGATGGGGTAGGTCCTGGTGTTGTTGTGGGAGGTTCTGGTGTTGTTGTAGGAGGCTTTATGGTAGTGGTAGTTGTCGGTGTAGGGGTAGATGATGTGGTAGGTTCTGGTGTTGTAGTAGACTTTGTGGTAGTCGGTGTAGGAGTAGATGATGGGGTAGGTCCTGGTGTTGTTGTGGGAGGTTCTGGTGTTGTTGTAGGAGGCTCTATGGTAGTGGTAGTTGTCGGTGTAGGAGTAGATGATGGGGTAGGTCCTGGTGTTGTTGTGGGAGGTTCTGGTGTTGTTGTAGGAGGCTTTATGGTAGTGGTAGTTGTCGGTGTAGGAGTAGATGATGGGGTAGGTCCTGGTGTTGTTGTGGGAGGTTCTGGTGTTGTTGTAGGAGGCTTTATGGTAGTGGTAGTTGTTGGTGTAGGGGTAGATGATGTGGTAGGTTCTGGTGTTGTAGTAGACTTTGTGGTAGTCGGTGTAGGAGTAGATGATGGGGTAGGTCCTGGTGTTGTTGTGGGAGGTTCTGGTGTTGTTGTAGTAGACTTTGTGGTAGTCGGTGTAGGAGTAGATGATGGGGTAGGTCCTGGTGTTGTTGTGGGAGGTTCTGGTGTTGTTGTAGGAGGCTTTATGGTAGTGGTAGTTGTCGGTGTAGGGGTAGATGATGGGGTAGGTCCTGGTGTTGTTGTGGGAGGTTCTGGTGTTGTTGTAGGAGCCTTTGTGGTAGTGGTAGTTGTCGGTGTAGGGGTAGATGATGGGGTAGGTCCTGGTGTTGTTGTGGTAGGTCCTGGTGTTGTTGTAGGAGGCTTTGTGGTAGTGGTAGTTGTCGGTGTAGGGGTAGATGATGTGGTAGGTTCTGGTGTTGTAGTAGACTTTGTGGTAGTCGGTGTAGGAGTAGATGATGGGGTAGGTCCTGGTGTTGTTGTGGGAGGTTCTGGTGTTGTTGTAGGAGGCTCTATGGTAGTGGTAGTTGTCGGTGTAGGAGTAGATGATGGGGTAGGTCCTGGTGTTGTTGTGGGAGGTTCTGGTGTTGTTGTAGGAGGCTTTATGGTAGTGGTAGTTGTCGGTGTAGGAGTAGATGATGGGGTAGGTCCTGGTGTTGTTGTGGGAGGTTCTGGTGTTGTTGTAGGAGGCTTTATGGTAGTGGTAGTTGTCGGTGTAGGAGTAGATGATGGGGTAGGTCCTGGTGTTGTTGTGGGAGGTTCTGGTGTTGTTGTAGGAGGCTTTATGGTAGTGGTAGTTGTCGGTGTAGGGCTAGATGATGTGGTAGGTTCTGGTGTTGTAGTAGACTTTGTGGTAGTTGGTGTAGGAGTAGATGATGGGGTAGGTCCTGGTGTTGTTGTGGTAGGTTCTGGTGTTGTTGTAGGAGGCTTTGTGGTAGTTGTCGGTGTAGGGGTAGATGATGTGGTAGGTTCTGGTGTTGTTGTGGGAGGTTCTGGTGTTGTTGTAGGAGGCTTTGTGGTAGTTGTCGGTGTAGGGGTAGATGATGTGGTAGGTTCTGGTGTTGTAGTAGACTTTGTGGTAGTCGGTGTAGGAGTAGATGATGGGGTAGGTCCTGGTGTTGTTGTGGGAGGTTCTGGTGTTGTTGTAGGAGGCTTTATGGTAGTGGTAGTTGTCGGTGTAGGAGTAGATGATGGGGTAGGTCCTGGTGTTGTTGTGGGAGGTTCTGGTGTTGTTGTAGGAGGCTTTATGGTAGTGGTAGTTGTCGGTGTAGGAGTAGATGATGGGGTAGGTCCTGGTGTTGTTGTGGGAGGTTCTGGTGTTGTTGTAGGAGGCTTTATGGTAGTGGTAGTTGTCGGTGTAGGGGTAGATGATGTGGTAGGTTCTGGTGTTGTAGTAGACTTTGTGGTAGTCGGTGTAGGAGTAGATGATGGGGTAGGTCCTGGTGTTGTTGTGGGAGGTTCTGGTGTTGTTGTAGGAGGCTTTATGGTAGTGGTAGTTGTAGGTGTAGGAGTAGATGATGTGGTAGGTTCTGGTGTTGTAGTAGACTTTGTGGTAGTCGGTGTAGGAGTAGATGATGGGGTAGGTCCTGGTGTTGTTGTGGGAGGTTCTGGTGTTGTTGTAGGAGGCTTTATGGTAGTGGTAGTTGTAGGTGTAGGAGTAGATGATGGGGTAGGTCCTGGTGTTGTTGTGGGAGGTTCTGGTGTTGTTGTAGGAGGCTTTATGGTAGTGGTAGTTGTCGGTGTAGGGGTAGATAATGGGGTAGGTCCTGGTGTTGTTGTGGGAGGTTCTGGTGTTGTTGTAGGAGGCTTTATGGTAGTGGTAGTTGTCGGTGTAGGGGTAGATGATGTGGTAGGTTCTGGTGTTGTAGTAGACTTTGTGGTAGTCGGTGTAGGAGTAGATGATGGGGTAGGTCCTGGTGTTGTTGTGGGAGGTTCTGGTGTTGTTGTAGGAGGCTTTATGGTAGTGGTAGTTGTCGGTGTAGGAGTAGATGATGGGGTAGGTCCTGGTGTTGTTGTGGGAGGTTCTGGTGTTGTTGTAGGAGGCTTTATGGTAGTGGTAGTTGTCGGTGTAGGGGTAGATGATGTGGTAGGTTCTGGTGTTGTAGTAGACTTTGTGGTAGTTGGTGTAGGAGTAGATGATGGGGTAGGTCCTGATGTGTTGTGGGAGGTTCTGGTGTTGTTGTAGGAGGCTTTATGGTAGTGGTAGTTGTCGGTGTAGGGGTAGATGATGTGGTAGGTTCTGGTGTTGTAGTAGACTTTGTGGTAGTCGGTATAGGAGTAGATGATGGGGTAGGTTCTTGTGTTGATGTGGTAGGTTCTGGTGTTGTTGTAGGAGGCTTTGTGGTAGTTGTCGGTGTAGGAGTAGATGATGTGGTAGGCTCTGGTGTTGTTGTGGGAGGTTCTGGTGTTGTAGTAGACTTTGTGGTAGTCGGTGTAGGGGTAGATGATGTGGTAGGTTCTTGTGTTGATGTGGTAGGTCCTGGTGTTGTTGTAGGAGGCTTTGTGGTAGTTGTCGTTTTAGGGGTAGATGAAGTGGTAGGTTCTGGTGTTGTTGTGGGACTTTCTGGTGTTGTAGTAGACTTTGTAGTAGTCGGCGTAGGGGTAGATGATGGGGTAGGTCCTGGTGTTGTTGTGGGAGGTTCTGGTGTTGTTGTGGGAGGCTTTGTGGTAGTGGTAGTTGTCGGTGTAGGGGTAGATGATGGGGTAGGTCCTGGTGTTGTTGTGGGAGGCTCTGGTGTTGTAGTAGACTTTGTGGTAGTCGTTGTAAGTGTAGATGCTGTGGTAGGTTCTGGTGTTGTTGTGGGAGGTTCTGGTGTTGTTGTGGGAGGTTCTGGTGTTGTAGTAGACTTTGTGGTAGTCGGTGTAGGGGTAGATGATGTGGTAGGTCCTGGTGTAGTTGTAGGAGGCTTTGTGGTAGTTGTCGGTGTAGCTGATGTGGTAGATTCTGTTGAAATTTGACCTGATCCTGTAATAGGTGTTATTGTTTCTCCAGTTTCAATTTCTATCGTTGTTGTCGGTGTAGTAGTAGATGATGGGGTAGGTCCTGGTGTTGTTGTGGGAGGTTCTGGTGTTGTAGTAGACTTTGTGGTAGTTGTCAGTGTAGGGGTAGATGACGTGGTAGGTTCTGGTGTGGTTGTAGGAGGCTTTGTGATAGTTGTCGGTGTAGTGGTAAATGAAGTGGTAGGTTCTGTTGTGGTTGTAGGAGGCTTTGTGGTACTTGTCGGTGTAGGGGTAGATGATGTGGTAGGTTCTGGTGTTGATGTGGTAGGTTCAGGTGTTGTTGTAGGAGGCTTTGTGATAGTTGTCGGTCTAGGGGTAGATGATGTGGTAGGTTCTGGTGTTATTGTAGGAGGCTTTGTGGTAGTTGTCGATGTAGGGGTAGATGATGTGGTAAATATTGTTGTTGTTGATGGTGGTGGTGTTGTACAAATGAAACAGCAGTAAACCCGTATTTCATAGTTAGAACATTTATATGGGCGGAATTTCTGTTGTTCCCCTTCACATATTAATCCAAATGAAACATTGCACTGGGCAACTTGGTTTGATTGCTGAATAAGATCTTCAAAGCTCAAGTTTGGTAGGCCCACAGCCCTACATTCAATAGCTTCTGGCTGTTCACAGATCTCTTTTCCATTTCCTGCAATATTTTCATAAGTCTCCAAGTCATCCCCTCCTCCTAATGTAGGATTATATACATTAAACCATTCAGACCACTCACATATAAGACATGGTGACGTAGTCTCAGCTGTTGTGGTAGTTGTCGGTGTAGGGGTAGATGATGTGGTAGGTTCTGGTGTTGTTGTGGGAGGTTCTGGTGTTGTTGTAGGAGGCTTTATGGTAGTGGTAGTTGTCGGTGTAGGGGTAGATGATGTGGTAGGTTCTGGTGTTGTAGTAGACTTTGTGGTAGTCGGTGTAGGAGTAGATGATGGGGTAGGTCCTGGTGTTGTTGTGGGAGGTTCTGGTGTTGTTGTAGGAGGCTTTATGGTAGTGGTAGTTGTCGGTGTAGGAGTAGATGATGGGGTAGGTCCTGGTGTTGTTGTGGGAGGTTCTGGTGTTGTTGTAGGAGGCTTTATGGTAGTGGTAGTTGTCGGTGTAGGGGTAGATGATGTGGTAGCTTCTGGTGTTGTTGTAGGAGGCTTTGTGGTAGTTGTCAGTGTAGTGGTAGATGATGTGGTAACTTCTGGTGTTGTTGTAGGAGGCTTTGTGGTAGTTGGTGGTCTAGGGGTAGATGATGTGGTAGGTTCTTGTGTTGATGTGGTAGTTACTGGTGTTGTTGTAGGAGGCTTTGTGGTAGTTGTTGTCTAGGGGTAGATGATGTGGTAGGTTCTGGTGTTGTTGTAGGTTCTATACATTTCTCCACACAGATCTGATTTTCTTCATCATAAATAGGCTTATCCTTTGGACATTCTGGATAACATCCTGAAAAACAATAATTATCAAAAAAATGATCCTCTAATCATTCCACTGCTATTTTCCTTATTGTATCTAACTGGACAAAATGAGAATCTCTATTTCATAAGAGTACACAAACAGGCACATTCTACAATTTCAAACATGAAAAATGCTGGCACATCAGTATGCCCCTGTTTATAAATTAGATGTCTACCAGTACATTAAATGTCCTTGCACACTGAGTCCGAAAATTTCGTATATGCATTTTTTCGTATTCTTCAGTCAGTGGCTCTAAGTTGTCAAAACACCTCTAAAATGCTTGCTACGGATGCTTTTTGCTTTTCGGATGTTCTTCCTTAACTTTGCAAAGTGTTTAAGAAAGAGGTGTAAGAGTAATTTTGTTCAAGGTCGTTGCTGTTGTATATGAAATCATATTTTTGAAGGTTTACAATATTCTCCCAAAGAATTAAAGGATTAGGCCAACAGAATTGGTAAATTAAATTTAATGAGAAAATGTTTTCTATAAAAAAATATTAAAAAACAAACATTATTTACTTGTTACCAGGGCTGTAAATGTGGGGGTAAGTGGTGGGGTGGAGTCAAGGGAATGAATTTCGAGGGGGGATGGTGCTCAAGTTCACTTTCAAAATGAAAGGGATTTCTATCTTTTATTCACTCAATAGCTTACAACAGCAAAATTCAGAATCCAAATTCCGAACAAAAAATACAGTGCAATAAGAGATATATAATACATAAATGCAGCGGAGTATTCTACAGTTGGTTCCGCAATGTCGACTTTCGTGATTGGCCATATGCAGGTTGCAGCCAAATGACATCCTTCTCTATCAGAATAAATTTTTGGAGGAAGCATGAAATATGTTAAAAAAAAATTATAGATTATAGAATATTTTATATTTAAATACATCTGAAAGGTCATTGAAACTAATAAATATTTTTCTAAATTAGAGGCCCAGCCATTTCCAGCCGTTCTTTACTAGCTATTAGAAATAATACTTTTACAAAAAAAAAAAAAAAAAAACTTTTCTATTACTTTCCATCAAAACGTTTTTTAATTATTTTATAATACCAGTTTAGCACTAAATATATGCTACGGCCTAGAGATATCCAGTGTGTGTACACTCAATATTCAGAAATGCAAACTAGTGTCCACTCACCTTCCAGGTTGGGTAAAGTGTTATTGCAAATACCATCAGGGTTGAGACAGGTTTTGTAGCAAGGTGTATGACAAGGACTGTAGTGCCATGTGCATTCTCCTGGGTCATTGTAGTAGTCACAGAACACAGCTAACAGAGGAACATAAATTTAAGTATGAACATGTACAAACAAACTAAATGAAATGGAATAAAATGGCAGTGCATTGTTCAAAGAAACCTTACAGATTTAAGATGTGCACTAGAATTAAAGATGCTTACGGCAGATCTCAGGTGTTCTCCAAACGACACAAACACCTGCCTCATTGCAGGCTTGAGCGTAAGCTGCCACAGCTGTACAGAAGCACTCGCAATCTCCACCTGCATCACACGCGCACGAGTCCTTCACACAGTTCTCATAATATGGGTTTGGATCCACCTGTGGGAACATGTTATGATGTTGGATTCTTACCACATTACAGGAAACTTCAATGTATTAACTCAAAATGCTTTCCATCTGTACCTTGTTATGGCAGTCTTTGAACGTAACTTCCTTTATGATGCTACACTGTATTTTTGCCCATGTCTCTCGATTGGGGGTCTCAAGGCATGGGTTAAGGTCTGGTTTTGCATCAGGGCAGGTGCTTAACACTTTCCAGCTGTCCACAAACTCCATTACATTTGTAGTTGGCAAATTTCCCTGAGTGGTAAAGTCATCTTTTCCATTCCCATTGAAATTTCCACACAAGCCACAAACGTGTCCCTGTGAAAATATAACGAATAACAGAGGTTGCGCTACAAATTATATTGAGGGGCCTATATAATTTGTCTGGAAATGTCAGTGCAAAACATGAAAAACTGACACCCTTCAACTCACCTTGTAATGAGGTTGCAGAATGATGCGGACAGTGGTTTTGCGGTCCCACAAAATTGTCAGTCCGATTTTAGCATCAATGACAAGGTACATCCCAACATTTCTCTGACTGTACTTAAACTTTGGACCACTTCCGGTATCAGTAACTGTTACAGTCCCATCAGAAAGCAGTAGCCAAGTCCTCTGTGTGTGAGTGTGTGAAAGAAGTTAGAAGAAAAAAAAAAAAAAACACCGTATGATAGATAAAATTAAAGAGCCATGAAAAACCCCATTTCAGCAAAGGTCAGTTCTCAAAACAGATATTGCATCCAAAGACTAACATTTGAAAGCAATATCAAGTGAATGTCAAAGAAAATAGGGCAAAAATCCTTTATTGGACTTTTAAATGTACGTATGTGTGTCATTATCTTATACCATTATGTAATAATGTTAACATGCTGACCAGCTTGCATTAGTATTTAATGACCCTTAAGAAAAATCTTTTATTTTCCTCTGAATGAGCATGAGACCTGACTGCAGCCTTACCCCCAAAAGTATCCCTACAGCCTTTGAACAAGTGGTTCCTGTTGTTCCACAAGGCATGTTTTCGGTAACCACGTGAAAATGGCCAGTTTTATTTCCACACTTATCCTGTAAAACAAGAGAGCGTGACCTTTTACCTCCTGAAGGAAGAGGTTTATTTGTAGCTTTATTTTCATGAAGTTTCTGATCAAATGCCATAGCTCATACCTGAGCAGCAATATAACTGCAGTCTCCCCTGAAGCCAAATCTTTGCTGATCGAAAGTTTTATAATGTCCGCTGCCGTATATGGTGCATATGCCTGGACACTTATTATGTGTACATTTCCACTTTCCCCGTTGACAAGTGCTGCAAAAATAGAGGTAGAATTAAATCTTATGTCATTCAACAGAATAATACTAAGATCCTAAAAGTTAATTAGTGTATTAACTCATTGTTCAGGTTTTTTATAGTAATTTAACTTTAATGTGGTGATGGCTGAATAAATAAATAATAAATACAATTTGTTTTATTGCAGCTAGTTGTAACATTTCCATATAGTTTAACTAGTTTAGTACTAAAATAAATAAAATTAAATAAAAACTATATAGATAAACAAAAACAACTAAAATTATAAAAACATACAAACCCAAAAATGACTAACTTTGATTAAAATGAAAATTGAAAATATATCAATAATTAATATAATATTATTATAAAATTAGTAAACTAAAATCATACTGGTTTTACACACCATTTATTGCAATCTACGGTTATCTCAGATCCTGGTGCATAAAACTGTCCATCATGTTTACATGGGCAGTTATCCGGTTTAACACAGTGTCCTCTGCCATCATCCAATAGACCAAAAGGACAATGGCAGCCAGATTGACAGTCCAGCGAGAACTGGAAAGAAGGGAAGAATACACAAGCATAAGACCACCAGCAAAATCAAGCGATCGACTTTGGGAAAGAAAGAGAAGAGATGCTGGAAAGAAAGAGACTCACGCAGTCAACTTCCTGTTGCGAACAAGTCTTTGCACACGCCAATCCATGTTCATATTGGCCTGCTGTACTGCAGTTGAAGAAAACCTTTGGAGAGGGACATCCTGCAAAAGACATCAGACCATTCATGTATTTTTTATATCAGAAACCATATTTAAAGAACGTTTACAAAAGATGTTGAGCAATTTACTATAATACTATTAATGCTAGACTGATAATACAAAAATATTTAGAAAATTTCAAATTGGTTTAATTATTAGTAAATACATACAATCATTTACAATTGTTACATTTGTATTTATTATGTAAAATTAATTTCATTGCAGCATAGTTATATAAAATCTTGCAATATAATTTATATCTGCATTATATCAATAAAAAAACATGTCAGTTGACTACTGATTGGTGCACTAATATGCATTAATTCATACTTAACTAATGCACAGATAATCATGAGTTAATGTATAACTCATGAAGAACTAAACCATTAATTAATGATTACTGCATCAGCAACTAATAAAGAGTCTATATGATTAATAGATTAAGTAATACATGAATTGCTATTAATTCAATGTGTTTTTGTGCATTAATTCCTTAATAACATATTTTATCAACAAATAGTGTAAATTAATGTGTTAATTACCACAATTAGTCAAAGCTATGCACTTCAGCTTCCAGTTGTCTGCTTTAATTAATAATTAGCTAATGATTTGCAAAGGTAACATTATGTTATGACTTTACTTGTTGGGGCACATCATTATTAACTAGTCATTTAGTAATTTGCACATGAATTTGCACTAACAATGAAGTAACTAATCATGTATTAATGCATATTAGTGTACCTGTCATATTATCTGGAAGTTGAAATACAAGGCTTTGGCTCATTCTGGTAATTAACATATTAATTAACACTATTAGTTAAAAAAAATGAGTTATTATGGAATTAATCCACAATTACATATTTAATTAATAAACAATTCATGTATGAATAAATTAACCTTACAGACTCTTAATTAGTTCCTAATGTGGTAATCATTAATGAATACCTTAAATAATCATTAGTTGCACATTAATTCAGTATTATCTGTGCATTAGTTAAGCATGAATTAATGCTTATTAGTGCACCGCACCCTTATTGTAAAGTGTTACCAGATAACTCTAGTAACAGATCCCATGATAGCTAGTGATAGTAGTCATGTAAACCAAAAGTAAATTTCTTTAACACGCAGTAGATGAAAGTAATTTTTCATACCATGAATTTGGGTTTTCCAGGAACGACAGTGGAACTTTCCATTGATGCAAACACTAGACAAAGAAATAAGATCAAAATGTCTGTTAAATTCATAGTTTGAAAAGTTCTAGGGCACTTATAATAATAATACTATCATCGACTTACCAGTGTTCATCCCTAATGTTGACAGACTTGCCGGGATGGATTTTCTGTCCGTTGTGATAACATGGACATTTTTCCATAGGTACACACAGTCCATTCTCATCCTGGTAGAGTCCATCTGGACATGCGCATCCATCAACAGGCACAAAGTCAACGCTGCAGCTTTGGCGCTCAGAGGCGAGAGAAAGACAGGTACGCTGGCAGCTCTGCAGCTGATACGAGTAGTTCTGCGATGCCGGGCAGTTCTCTGTATACTTCTCTGTGGGGATCAGTTTGAAAGGAATGCGTTGTAAAAGTGCATGTAGCAAAATGGCAAGCATTCTTTAAATCTTCTAGCCTAAATAAGGGGTTTACGAACTTTTTGATGCCAGGTATGACATATGAAGGATGCCCTTCCTAAACTATAAAAGCATCTATGTTTTATATATTTTGCATAAAATAGTGAGCATTATATTATTAAGCCATGCTGTTTTCATAAACTAAATTAAATAATTAGTAATTTAATTTACATACAAATTATTTACATTTAAATTATATAAAATATTATCATTGTAATAAAACTACAAAATTATTATTAAAATAATATCTGGAAAATATTTACTTTGCACCTTATTCAGGAAAAACTCATAAGAAATATGTTCCAAATACAAACTATGTAAACTATGTCTGTTGGTGCAATGTGGATTGTCCTTAAATAATCACATGGTCTACAGAAAACAGAATGACAGTAATATACAGTTTTTATTTTTTTAAATAGACTTTTAATATTTTTTTATATATTTTCACAGACCACAACCTGGTCTGAAAACCCATCCTCTGTCTGCCAAATAAACAGCTTTCCGCCTTACCACACACGATTCCTCGCCAGCCTTGGAGGAATATTCCTTTAGCTGCACAGGCCCGGGCGTACGAGGAGAACACCGTACACAGACATTCCTCACTCTTCTCACAGGTACAGCTGGAGTATTTGCATCTCTGAAAACACATAGACATGTTGTGTCACTGCTTATTATGAGAGGTTGGGTAACATTCTCTACAATACGGAAAATTAAGTGTTAAATTTTCAAGGTTTCCAGTTTCAGATCATACTTTGTAGTAGCTGTCTGGATTGACAGTGGTGTGACATTTGGCAAAGAGGCTCTCCTTGTCCTTCATCTTGGAACACCAGTGCTCAGCAAAGTGCTCTAAAGGCATCATAACATATGGTGTTTTATGCAAAACTCTTACTTAACAACAAAATGCATATAGTAACTTAAAAGTGGCAATCCTTGCAGATAGTAAACTATTGGAAGTATAATATACCAGAAGTATTTTATATACAGTGTGGTTTTGGGTCACATGAGAATGGATAAGGGAACCTATTTTGCCCCTTTTTACAAGTTATATAAGTCTCAGATGTCCCCAGATTGTGTCTGTAAAGTCAACTCAACTCAAAATAAACTCCATGTATTAATCCATTTTTGAGTGGAAGTAAAACATGCTGTATTCGTACATGTGCCTTTAAATGCAAATTGGCTGCTGCTCCCTGCCCCTCTTTCCAGAAGAGGGCGGAGCCTGCACAGCTCGTGCCTCCAAAAACTATTACCATGCTGACTTTGGATGTAAAAGTCTCTCACCGCTGTCACTGCTGTAGGAACAAGGGTCGTCCATCCTCTCAGAACGGTCGGGACAGTTGGAAAGGGCCTTCCAGGCATTTGCGAAGGAAACTGCTGTACCCTCCACCACTCCCTGAGGGGTCTTCAGGTCATCAAACAGCACTTCGTTAAAATTTCCACAGAGACCTGCACAAACACAGAGATGGCGCACCATTGGCAATCGTGATGGATTTACTTCTTAGTTCAGATTTTTCTTGCTTTTTAAGACAGAGGCCTCACCACAAGTCTTGCCCTTGAAGATTTGCTCCACAGTGATGTACACCTGCATAAGAGGCACCAGCTGTATCTGTACTTGCAGCCCAAAGGTGGTCTGAAGTAAGATGTGAAATGATGACGGCATGAACACAGTGAAGTCAGCTGGAGGAAAAGTGTCAAAGAAAAATAAAAGTTTGAAAAATAGTTCATATATAGATGTGTATCTTTAGCACACAGGCTTTAAAGCACAGAAACAAAAAAAGAGCTTCTTATTCCTCACCTGTCATGTAAGGAAGTGAAACTTCTGCATTGTGTTGTACCGTCCCATCAGCTTTAATAATCAGAGGCTGAAGAATAAAGCACACAGTCATATTTTTATTTTGCACAAGCTACATTTCTGTTTAAATGTTTAGAATCTGAACAATAAAGAAACAGTAACAGTAACATCATTTAAAGTTTTATAAAATATTTGGTTTAAATCTAGTTTAAATAAATGGTGTTCTTGTTAACTTTATTCGACAGAGAATACCAAATTAGCAACAAAAAAAAAAGATTTTCGAAGGATCATGTGACACTGAACACTGAAATGTACATAAGTTGAAAAGTAAATAAGTTACATTTAAAATATAATATATATATATATATATATATATATATATATAAAATAAAAAGTTTTAGATCGGTAAGATTTTTTATGTTTTCAAAAGAAGTCTCTTCTATTCACCAAGGCTGCAATTATTTGATAAAAAAATACAAAAAACAGTAATATTGTGAAATATTATTACAATTTAAAACAGTGGTTTTCTATGTGAATATATAGTGAAGTGTAATTTATTCCTGTGATCAAAGCTGAATTTACAGCATCATTACTCCAGTCTTCAGTGTCACATGATCCTACAGAAATTATTATAATATGATGCTCAAGAAACATTTATGATTATTATCCATGTTGAAAACAGTTTTTACATTTTTATTTCAGGATTCTTTGATGAATAGAAAGTTCAAAAGAACAGAATTGATCTGAAATGGAAAGCTTTTTGTAACATTAATCACTACCATTCAAAAGTTTGGGGTCAGTAAGAATTTATTTTTTATTTTGGGGGAAAGAAATTAGAAAATACTTTTAATCATCAAGGATGAGTTAAATTGATCAAAAGTTACAGTAAAAGCATTTATAATGTTAGAAAAGATAATATTTTAAATAAATGCTATTCTTTTGAACTTTCTATTCATCATAGAATTTGGGGGGGAAATTATACACAACTGTTTTCAACATTGAAAATAATAATTCATGTTTTTTGAGCATAAAATCAGCAAATTAGAATGATTTCTGAAGGATCATGTGACACTGAAAACTGATGTGTAATCAGCAACAGTAATGTTGAAAATTCAGCTTTCAAATTACATTTTAAAATATATTAAAATAGAAAACAGTCATTTTAAATTGTCATAATATTTCACAATATTACTGTTTGTCATTTTGTTTTTCATCAAATAAAGCAGCCTTGGTGAGCAGAAGTGACTTCATTTAAAAACAAAAAAAAATCTTAATGATCAAAAACTTTTGACCGGTAGTGTGTGTGTGTGTATATATTTATATATATCATATTGCCTAAAATGACTTATTTGCTATAAAAGCCAAATATACCAGACTTTTGTGTTGTGGAAGTAGATCGTTATATACACACATTTTTCTTGTCAATGTCAAACAGCACCACGATAGATTTCAAACAGGTGTCCGTTTCATGAGTAAAACAAGGAACAATCTGAGCCAATATGATGAACTTGGACCCCTCACAATCCTACAAAAACACAAATGCAAAAGTTGACTTTTATAAGGATTTTACATATTCCTAATGGATAAAAGCATGGATGCAAACAAAATGAGAAGACGTAATCAGTAACTACAACACGCTTACTTTTGAGAGCACATAGTTGCAGTCTCCATGGAAAGTGAATTCTTTCCCGTCGTAGGTGGTGAAGTGAGATCCTTCCTCTACTGCGCACAGGCCAGGGTGAGGAATACTCGTACAGATCCAGTTTCCCTCCTCACATACACTGAATCACACAATATAATTACTTTGTACAAACAGACACAGTAAACAACAAGCTTCAGATGCCAACATGGTAAACCACACTTTTCCTTTTTTATACATTTATACATTTTTACCATTGGTCCAGTGTCATCATAATTTAGCATTTAGTCAGGCATATGCATTTAAAAATAATATTAACAAATATGTCTATATATGAGTAGTAAAATACATGAGATGTAAAAAGAGTCACAAAATGCACTAGGATTAAAAAAAAAAGTGCTACACACATTTTACTTAGTTATCTTCATATTCCTATTACAGATATATTTCATTACCATTCTTCCTCGTCTTTGCGAAGAATCTCTCCTGTGTTGTAGACGCGGTCATGCTTGCACTGACACTTTTCTGCTGGGATGCAGCCCGTATTTGAAATGTCATCAAACACAGTTCCTATTACAAAGACAGAGCATTAATATCAAGTTTATGTGGTTCTTAATTTTTTTTAAGACAACAACATACATTTCCATTCAAACGTTTGGGTTTTTAAGATGGGTTTTCAAATGTTTTTTTGCTCACCAAGGCTACATTATTTAATTAAAAATACAGTAAAAACAGTAATATTGTGAAATTACTCCATTCTTCGGTGTCACATGACCCTTCAGAAATCATTCTAATATTCTGATTTGCTGCTCAAGAAATATTTCTTATCATGATCAATGAAAACAGTTGTGCTGCTTCATTTTTTACAGAAATCGTGAAAGAAAATCTGGATTCTTTAATACATAGAGCTCAAAAGACCAGCATTTATTTGAAATAGAATTTTTGTAACATAAATGCCTTGTCTCTTTTGATCAATTTAGGGAAAAAAAAAAAAAGGATTTCTAAACACTTTTTTATAATACTCATACTGACCTGGTGGGCAGAAGCAGCCATCGATGTTGTGTTCCTCACACAGTGTGTTTGTGTCTTTGTGTGAGCATGTGGCCATACAGGGGGAGCCACTTTCAGAATGTACCATATTGTAGGGGCACGTCACAGCTGCATGGAAAAACAAGTCATAAAGAGACTTACAATGCGTCTACACCGGACGCAACAGTTGTCTTGAGGCATCTTGCAGCATCCAGTGTAGACAGCATCTGATTATAATGGGAACTGTTTGCTTTTGTACTGTCATGTCGCAACACTCGCATCTGGTGTTGTCACGGTGTTACAAAATTAAGATAAACACTTTTATTCTATTCTTTCAATCTTTGGTCTATCTCTATTTTATTTAAACATTAATTTAAAGAGGAAAATTGCCTGGATTCCTCTTACCGTAGCCATGTAAACAATCAAAAAGAATTATATACAAAAGGAAACAAACCAAAGAAAACACTCAAGATCGAACAATCCTATAATTTACACAAGAAGTCTGTGGTTTTTCTTACCACAGAACTTTGCTGTTCTCCAGTTCGGCGGAGATCCTCCAGCATGCGAACACTGACGTGAATATTCAGACAAAGTCGCGCAGAGTGCGGTGGTGTCTCTATCTTCGTTTTCTTCATCTTCAGGTTGACGTGAACAGATATCATTTGTACAGGCCTTGATATATGGCTCAGGGTTCAAAACCCAGCTACAAGAAGACCACTTTTCATCCTCCAAAAGGTCTGCACAATCTGCCCGCTGTTGTGAAAAGGACATGGAGGGTCCATATTAACAATACTGGAATTCAGATTTGCTAGTTTAATAGTTTAGTTTGGAATAAACAACTTTTTTCTGTATCTTACATATTTTTCACATTGGTCCACCACATTTTGCTCATCGATGTTTTCAAAAGGATCTTCACAGTTATGAGTTGGGTTGGGAACTCTGTGATTATTTCCAAACTCAGTATATCCAACCCTCCGTCCTGTATTAAATAAGATAAGATATAGACACTTGATCTTCTTAGATCTTCTTAAACCGCTTGGATTTTTCATCAGATGAGCATTAGTCATTGCTGAATTTGGTAATCATTATTGGGGGTCAGTTATGAACAGTTAAGTAAGAAATCAGACTGTGAAAGTAACTTACCGGATTCAATGAACTCATTATAAACTGGAACTCCATTAAAATCGCCACACAGTCCACAAGTCCGATTGGAATATTTGGAGTCAAGTTCCACCTAACAATAGCACACAAAACTTCTTGGTTAGATCATTTTTGACTTGGTATTTTTGGCCATTTGGACATCAAGTCAGTACTAGTGATAGTTGATGAACAAACACTGGAATATGGAATAGGCATCACTTGTATTCAGTCTTTTGATAAAAAAAAAGCCAATTCAAGCCATTGGAACCAGTAACATGATGGCCTCAGTTAATAATACTATGTTACGAAATTATTACCACATACATATACCATGGTATTTGCATGGTACTCCTTTTTGTAGGTATACACCAGTGAATATTGCAAACTTGCAGGCTGAAATTCACTGTTGGTAACCATGTTCATAAGGAAACAAAATGCAGATATTTCAATGTGTAACAGAAAATTGCCTTATATAGCATTTCACTTCACATGCTGCAGTGTTTGCACAATATGCTAAATCATTTACTGGTTAAGTACTCCCTTGAAAGGTCTGCTAGCAGTTTCCTGTGGCCTAAACAAGTTTTTCCCTAGTTAAACACTGTCATGTTGTATTAATTCTGCTCCCACAACTATTTAAAAAAGTGCTTTATGAATATAATTTACCAAATCAAAAACTGTATTATTAGAATATATGAAACATGGTTATAAACATAACATTAATTTAATCATTGCCCGCCTATTTGAGCATCAGAGAATTATGCAAATTAGTGTAAGCCTACCGTTTGATTAATCTACAGCACCACATCTAAATAAATCTTATTTTTCCCAAGTTTATGCTAGTTTACTGTCTGATCGGATAACATGAACCACAAATTAGTGGGAAGAAACCGTCTTTCGACTGAATTGTTTTTGTGGCCAACACGCTAAAACAAGCATATAGCGTGATCACAAAGCTGATTCTTTTATATTGAATCATTGAGCGCAAGAAGTGTAGTCCGATTCACTAACAAATTACTCATGTGAGACAGTTATATTTAGAAAAATCAAAAACATCAGCAGCAGTGTCTGATTCAATAACAGATTACTTGTATTGTTGTAACCAGATTCATTCATCAATCGTTCAAGGTTTAGTGTGTTTTAGGTTTGTAAAACTTAAATCAGACTAATATCCTTATAAGAATCTGTAGTTAAATTTGTTTTCAACTCATATCGAGCCACATAACCTTACCATAACTGCATCCTCTTTGTTCCATGTGACAGTGATGCCCATTTTGGAATAGAGTCTGGTGTAAATGGTGTTTTCTTCCACAAGGATCCCTGTGATATGCACAGGCAGTGTTACTCTGAAAAATGAGAAAAGATTCAAATGAAAACTTGACCGAACCGGACTCATTTCTAAGCCTTTGCTGTGGGAGCAAATAAGCAGTTGGGTTCCCCAGAATCTTACTTTTGTTCATTGATCATGACCTCTTTCTCAGTCAACTCAATGATGATGTCATTGATACTGACTGACACCCTGCTGATCTTCGGGTCATTGGTGTCTTCTGTTCTCCTCACATGAACCGAGAACTGGCGAATGAGGCTTTGGCAGTCAGACACCAGGTTATACTCGCACATGCCAGGGAACTGATAAACGTCCCCATCGAACGTCTTGAAGTGGAAGTTTCCCCACATGCTGCAGATGCTGTTGACATGGTTACTGGGATAGACTGCAAAAAAAAGGGAGAAAACAAAGATTTGTAATTCAAAGAAATGTGATTTTTTAATATAGAGGTAGAGAACATGTGTATGAGAAAGAATATGCTTTACAATAGTTACATGACTGATTTCCATTTTTATGTCCTTAAACACTAATTTGAATTACAATAATGATTTCTGTTTGCAAAACATAATTCAAACTGATTTGTTAACTTTTACATTAATGCTAAAAAAAAATATATCAATCCGTGAAATTTCACAAAGATGATCAAACTAAATTTCGAGTTATCCAGAAGGAAAGTAACTTTTGACATTTGAACTTTTGACATTTTTCACAACTGAGAATATTTAGTAACTTCTAAAGCAAGTCATCAATGGAGCTGATAGCATCAGGTTCAAGTGATGATACTATGACGTTCACAAATGTTATCAGGTGGTTGGTTCCTGTTTTCACCCCAGATGCGGACACTGATGCTGTTTCTAACCACAACATCATGCTATGTGACAAGATCATTTCAGGTTTAATTGATTTTAAAACACATTTCAGATATTGGATCTTGAGTATAAAAGCTTACAAATGGGATATCGACTGCCAATACTACTTATTAATTAAAAAAAAGAAACTAAAATAAAGAAATCTTATTATGAGGGCACCAAACGGCAACTCATATTTTTTTAATGTGATTAAGTATCAAGTCATTTGTGATTGTTGTTTAGTTGCAAAAACATTAAATTCATAAGAACAGGATTTAGACCAAAAAAACATTCAATATTTTACATGAAATAGAATATTAAAATAAAATGAGAAATGAATGAATGAATTATATATATATATATATATATATAGGGAAATAATTAATCAAAAATGTTAATAAAAATAATTAAACCCATTTTAATAACGCCCTAAAGAACTCAAGAATACTTAAACTCTTACCGTTCTTTGAATGCACCTGAATGCCGGTAAGCGCCAGAAGTAGTATGCAGACTGCAGATGTTTTCCACTCCATGGTGGGAGGTGAGAAAGGTCTACAGGTAGAGCTTCAGTACTGTTTGATTCCTTTTATATCATTTCTCATTTACCACCCTGCAGGGAGGGTCTACCAGCCTTCGCATGACGCAGAAAAAAAAGCTGACCTGGTATTACAAAAGTCCAGTGATGGCATTGTGTGTGTGTGTGTGTGTGTGTGTGTGTGTGTGTGTGTGTGTGTGTGTGTGTGTGTGTGTGTGTGTTCAGGCGGGCGGCAGTCCCTCGGCCTCTCTGAACGATGTTTGACGAAAATGTATCAAATGAATTTCATATTTACAGCAGGGTGTGATAATTTACAGCTTCTGTGTACATGTATGAGGAGGATTAGTAAAAATAACATTCACTACTAAAACCTGCAAAATAAATATACAATACATGATTAATAAACTATTTAGCAGCTGATTTGTGGAATGAAATGAAGACTAATGGTTAAAATGATTGTCTTGTGTAAACACTTAAGAGTCTTTAGCGTCCTGATCCTGAATTAGGATATGATCATAAATGACATGAATCAAATTTTCCATCAAGCTGTTTCTTGACAAGGTGCAGCCAAACGCCAGTACATTTCAAGTGACAACGTATGATTGCGTGTGAGCTTTGAACATCCTGTCTGTGATGCAGACAATTTGACGTTCAGCATCCTTGCAGGTACACAGGTGTGTCTCAAGCTCCTGAATGCCACCTGTGCTTTCGTGAATTAAAACAAACTAATCACTGACCATCTGGCAGCAGTCATATCCTGATCATTTCTAGTTAAAGATTTTTGCCTTGTGAGAAATGTCATGTCATTCATTACTATTATTCATGGGTAATTTTTACTAATAATGCTTGACCCTGTGGACCTTTAGAAATATGATACATTCAAATATTAAACTATTTGTCATCAAAAGGCTTTACAGTACTTTTACAGTAGTAGATGAGTCAAAAGTTCTGAAAATTTGTGAAAAACTAAAAGCAATTAAACAAATGAAAAAAATAAACTAATTCTATATGGATTTTAAAGGTTCATTCACTGGATAACATTTAAATAAACAAAACTGCATTAATTTTGAGGAAGAACATTGTTTTGGTTGTTTCTGTGTGACTGTGCAGATTAATGTTTTTTTGTCTCTCATTAAATAAATGTCAGAGCGTTTAACCTACAACTGCTACACATTTGACTAACTTACTAGATGGAAAGAATCTTAGCTGACTAACGTTAGCTGAACACATTATGTTACTGTCTGTAGCTAAACCCATTAACGTAGACACAATACTTCCTTTAAAATAAATTCCAGCACAGCACAACAACTCATAATGAAATGACCCTTTGCAGTAACTTAGGTAATGCTTCACAGAGTTATAATTTATCTGTTCACAGTAAAATTACCTACCTTAACGTTACCTGTTGAGTAACCGTAATCTCCGGATCCTTTATTCAACATTTCAAGAGCCTCAGTTCGCGCCATCTCCGAAAAGCCAAGCAACCGTTGATTCTCGTTTTATTGTTAGCTCTGTATCCTCTGTTTGGTTTCCTTTCAACAGGTGATTGGAAGTACAAGATTTAACAAGTTCCTTGTCAACCTTTATTGCATGTTGTGACGACTAACCTAGCCTAAAATCAAACACCAAACATTAAGTCAGTCAAACTTTTTCTGAAGGCTAGCGTACGATAAAACACTGTCAGCCAATCAGAATCCACCCGAATTTAAAGGGCTCATCGCGCATTTAAAATGCAGACGACACTGCTGAAAAGTTAATCGCTGAGGTACAGAAAAAAACATTGTTTGACTAGTCAAACCCACTTTTAAATGATATGTTAAAAATGGATATGAAAACCAATCGGTCGTATCCTTGGAATAAATAACGATGAGATAGTAGGTTAGCAAATCGTGTAACAAAATTACCTCAGATTTCCACAACATGAATTGCTTCCTTTAAGTTGCAGTGAGTTGTATATAAAGGTGTTGTTTTTATTCCACTATTGACTTGGTCAGCTAAATTCACTCTTATTAGATTGATTATACTAGACTAGCTAGATTCACTATTTAGATGTGCCCGAAATGTAGCATGCTGAGCTGTCAATGCCGTTAAAATGTTGCAATCTGATAGGCTATTGATTCATTCAAAAGTACGAAAAATAGTCTTCATGACATCTTTCTAATCAGAGTGATGGATTCTCACAACTCTTTTAAAGGGGTGGTATGCCCATTTCACATGATGTAAAATTAGTCTGATGTCCCCTGAGTGTGTGAAAACTTTTATAGAGCTCGTCCTTTTACCTCACACAGACATGCACTGGAAATTTCAAAAACTTTTACCCCGATATTTTCAAACTGAAGTCAGAAAGATGGAGAGACTGAAGAAGAAGTGAAAACATGTGAACATAATAGTTAGTTAATGAATTTCTGTAGCTTATGTGTGTTATCCGAGGCGGGTTTATGTAAATGAGCTGGGAGGAAGCCATTTGTTGTAGTCCTTAAAAGCAATTTTTTTTCAAAGAAAATATCTCTCTTTGCTTTGAACTTTGAGCGTTGAGGGTCCAATTTCTTACTAGACACAGTAGATAGGCCTATAGGAGGACAGGCCATCAGACAGAAAGTAAATTTAGGTACTCCTTTGTAAATCATTGTTCAATCAACAGCAAATATCATAATTTGCTGATATTGAGAGCTGCCCAAACATTCAAATAACTTCTCTCAGTAGCACAAAAGTTCCTCCAAAGGCAAACATCGGCTTTTGATGTGCATGTAAAGTGAAATGATGGCTCCACCTCTTTGTGGCACCGCAAACGCAAGTGTTGACAATGTAGAAGAAACAGCTGTTCTTCAGAAATACCCTTACATGAAACAGGGCACAGTGTTGGCAAAGGGAGGGAACAACCATGTAGAACATTGATTAGATAAACCAACACTGCTGTAGTGCTGTGAGTTTCTGTTGACACTGCCTCATTTGACATGAATGTTATGTATGTACAGTATAAGTCAATGCAGTACATCGACTCGTTGATCAGAAATGCTGAGTTTAAGTCAGTTCAAGAGGTCTGCTGAAAAAAAATCCTAGGAAAGTATCAAATCTGACCATTGAGTTGAGGACAAAATTTTAGATTTGACCAGTTTACTATATTCGTGATTCATATCAAATTCTGAATCATTTGTAGACTACAGTAATGTGTTGAACATTACACATATGGTCCAAAACTCTGAGACAACGCTGAAACATGAAAGCATGAAATAAAATGAGAAATATAGGAAATATGTTGTGCATTTGTTTTAGATCATTGATCAATTGATCATTGATAAAAAGCTCAAAGACAGTGTTGTTAAAGGGATTTTGTCGTAATTTAGTCACCCTCAAGTTGTTCCAAACCTGTATAAATTCCATTCTTCTGCTGAACACTAAACAATATATTCTGAAGAATGTGCCTACTAGGCTTTTCACACTAGAACTACTTAACCAAGGTTCATTCTCAGGAGCTCTGACTGGGATTGTGTGCAGTCCCTTTGAAGCTGCATTGAAACTGAAATTTAGATCTTCAGACCATTTGACCCCATTGAAGTAGCCTAGCCTACGAGAAAAATCCTTAAACGTTTTCCTCAAAAACATTAATTTCTTTTCGACTGAAGAAAGGAAGACATTAATATTTTGGATGACATGGGGGTGAGTAAATTATCAGGAAATTTGAATTCTGGAGTGAACTCATCCTTTAAGCTCTCGCAACGTATTCCCCCATCGTATTCCAAGCAAGAGCAAGAGCAAAAGACGACAGAGTTTTCATTTTTGGGTGAACTAGCCGTTTAATCTAGACAGCAGTCAAAGGAAGGAAGAAAGAACCTTTGAAAAAAAAGAAGAAGCTGTTTTTAGAAAGACAATAAGGATTCTTCCTGTAGGGGGCGAACGGAGGCCCAGAAACCCATTTACTCGCATTCATATAATGTTTAATTTTTATTTATTTATTTTTTGCTAACTTATTTATTTTTTACTCAATTAAATGGAGATTAAAATTGAATTTAATCCATTTGAGAATTGTTAACTGACATACAAGTTAAAATCCTGCAAAAAAAACAAAACAAAAAAAAAAACACGTAAAAGCCCCTCGTCAACTCATTCAACTATAGAGGTTCAGGAGAATGACTACAGCTGAATTACTCTGAAACTCTTGAGTCTCTATTTACCCATTGAATTTCAAATTTGTGTTGCGGAGTAAAATATTTACTTGACAAACCGTGACACCCATTTATTTGAAGACGTTATTTCGTACAAATGCCTTTCTACCCACTTTATTTTTTATTCTTTCCCATCATGCTTTGTAGAGTTGTGAGCGGAAGTACTACACTTCTATGCGCTTATTCAAAACGTCCAAACAAACCATGAAGCTCAAAATTCATTTTTCGCATTCTTAATATTCCTGAGCATCTAGCGTTATTTGTGGAAAGTCGTTATTAATGGGTAAGTCAGGACATTTGGGTTAGATAATAAACTAGTGTTGCTCCTCTCTACAGTAAATGTTTATTTAATTAAATCAATATTTGCCACGTTGTTTAACCGGTATTATTATAAAAAAAAAATAAGCCGGCAAAACCTTTCGAGCGTTAAACATACACCACAAATAGTTTTTCTAAGATAGCATTTCACACTTATTTTTCTGAAGCGTGGTGGACCCGTGTCTTGACTCGAATTATTATACGCGTTATTACTGTAAACGCTCACTCATTTATGTTTTGATCTCGACTGGAGAGTTGTTCTTGCATTTATGTCAGGCATTAAAAGTATTTATTTTGCATGTATGAGAAGTTAATGCATATGTAGTAATCTACTGTAAGTTTTGCATGCATTGGAGGTTTGTGCACATGGTTAGATACTTACAAAAATGTGCTTGCATGCTTTATGCTGCGTATTAGTGGGTTATGCATGCATCCTTTAGATAATTGTTCATGCATTTATGTCATATATTGATTTGTTCATCAGAGCACAATGACAGATGCTCTCAGGAGGTGGATGGAGACAGTTGTGG